TTTTATTATCTGCTATTAAATGTTATAATAATGAAATACCACGACTGCGATATTATGATGATAACGTGCCGATCTCCCGGACGTATTTTCTATTTTGTAATTTAATCTTTGAGACTTTTAATTGGAGCCTACTTGCAGCACTATAAGACATACTGATAAAGTCTCTATAGTTTTATTTCTTTGGCGCCATTCAATACAATCGCAGTACGCGCCTTTTGGGTCATGTGTTGAGTCATTTGCAAGGCGCAAATCATTGCCCTTTCCATCAAACGCCGCGATGCAATACTTTAGATACAAATAGTCTATAACTATACGACGAATAAAATTATATTTAAAAAAAAATTATTTAAACTTTCAGAAATACATTCATGACATAATTAATTGAATACAAAAAATTATATTGATTATAAATACTTCGAACGTCATACTAAGTTTATTAGATCGAACCTTTGGGTATAAATAAAGTAATATTTTTTTTAACGCAATTAAAAATACTATGTTTTAAAAACGACTACGACAGTTTTAATCAGTGAAAGGCAAAAAAAATAAAATTATGATCGTTATCAACTTTAGTACGTAGTATATAGATGAAGACATAAGTGGCGTTATTTTTTTTTACACTTATTACTACAAGCTGACCGCGATTAACTTTATGACTGTAAACATTATTTTTTTTCGTTTGTTGTCGTCAGCCAAAATCTAAAATGACATTATCGATGTTATTTAATATACTCGACAACAAAACGGTACGAAAAAAACGAAGGAAGATTACAATACAAGGGGCCCACGACTATCTCGTTTAAAACGGATTTGATTTGAATCATTATACACTATTATTATGTACAATATTGATTGAATAATAGTCACCACGGCCATGCAGTGGATATTATTAATTGGCTCTATTGAAATACAGTTTTAGACGTCGTTACTAGTTTTACCACACGATATCACTATTACTAGGGGTAACGAATAAAAGGGATACTTTACAGTTAGTCATCATTGGGATTCATGGGTCTATATAATGCACGGGGATTTTTCAATTAGGAGACACACACACCGCGAGTGCTCCAACCCTAAAACCAGATGTTTTATAAAATCCGATATACTTTGAATAATTTATTTGGTTCGGCCGATTTTATGACCGTTTACAACTTTTGAAACACCATTACGTTTTTGTAGTAGTGTCACCAAACACGAGTGTAAAATAAAAAAAAGTACATAATTTATGACACAGAAGATTTCGTTTTGGCGTTTGCACTGTCCTAATGAGGAAACAAGAAGTTTTATTAATTCGTAAAGAATCGTTTACGACTACCGATTCGGATTTTTGTAAACACGAGTTCCCTGAACGGATTGATATCCAAATAGTAACAACGACATTATTTATTGGTAATGTACAAACAATTTCGAGTACCGAATTTTCAATAGTAATTTCGAAATATCTGTAAACATGTTTACGTGAGAACCGAAAACTTAAATTCAATTGTTTATATTTTCCATTACATATGACAGAATTTAAATGATCTAATTTTAAGTAATCTATTAAGGAATTTTCAATTATGATTCAACGTTTTAATGTGATTTTTAATCACTGATTTATAACAGTGCGATTGTACGGACATAAATGTTCTATTACACGATTATTTGATGCGTTCGGCCGGAGAATGACTTAATGTGCATTAGTACAAATGACACTGAGGAATAACAAAGAGATATGTCCGGTGCGTTTCCGCGCACCATGTTTGGTGACACATACTCAACACTTGTAAGAAATCAAAAGGGTTGGACGTACAACAATTGAATATGTTGTTTGTAAATCAAACTAAACATTCGATTCTCTGGCATAGGAGAAACCCTTCGACAAAATAACAGACACAGGGGATGGATTTCCCCTTCGATGATCTTTACAGATAAAATTGAAACGTTTTCCGTAAATTAATATTTATGGTAGTGACCAATTACACTAGTGGAATGAATCATTTTTAAGGTCTTTTTACAAGGAAAATAAACAGCATTAGTCATCCAAACTGTTTTTTTAATGAACAGGGGTTTTCACAACTGCGTTACTATTGAGTTATTAGTCTTGACTTCTTTCGAGGAAAATCAGTTTTTTAATAAAAATAATAATAATTTGTAAATAAAAATAATAATTAATTAATAATAGTAATAATAATAATAGGTTGTTTGAATTTGGAATTTGAATTTATTTCCAAATAATTCTATGACGCACTTATAGTTTTATTACGTATTTTTCGCTAGAAAAGTGTAATAAGGCAAATAAAAAAAAATTAACTAAAACACCAGTAGAAAATAATATTCTTGGAAACAAATTAAGTAAACGCCTCGCGCAATAGGACATTACCGGAGCCGAAAAGCCGCAAAACAACATACGTGGTTTCTATCATGAACATGGAACTGTGTAAGATAAAATTCTAGCTAAAAAACACATTAAACAAATTAGTTTTGTGTAGTTTAATTGCTATGACCGTAACTGTATTTCGATTCAATACTGACAACACATTTAGCGGAAATTAAAGCGATAAACCCGAGAATGGTCTTACAATGGATCATTTTCTGTACAACGCGCAAATGTTAGGTTCTTTGTCTTAGTAATCCTCGACGATTCTAGAGACATGAGGAAACAACTACAGCCGCTGTAGTAGCAGCTGATCTACTTATGTCGCCTAACGGATGTCTGAAGAGGTAAGGGGACGGCGGTCTCCGGGCCTGCACAGGAATTCCTTTGTGTTAAGAGACGTATTAAATGCGTCGCCGCGTTCACATGCACTCCACCTGGAAGGGATGTCTGTCCGTAAATGGGACAGCTGCCGTTCCAATGGATTCTTAAAATAAACCTCGTTTGCCGCACGCTAGCAGTATATCGATCGATGTCGATAGTAATGAAGCGATGCTAAAAATAGAACGCCACTGTTGTCAATTGTCAATCGAGTTGATATACAAAGTAGAGGTACACGCGATCAACGCTGGTGACAACCGTTCAGTGATACAATCAATTTGTTTATTCTTGTTCGACATCGTATCGACTTTTGATAACAACACAAGTTCCGATTGTGTTCGACTGAATTTTATGTTGTTTTCTATTTATTCGGCCAATAAGTCATCGTCCATTTTTAGCTTAAAAGGTTATTTACACAATACTAGTAGTATTTGCATTGCATACAAATACATATTTAAATACGGACGCGACGATAACGATTTAAATGATTGATAACGAAACAATACAAACAATAACAATATAATCATTGTGTTCGCTGTACAGTGTCTTACGTGCTAGAGAGCCAAGTCCGACCTAATAGTTTAAATAAGCAAACAGATTATACAAATATTGCCGCTAAGCATCTACCAGCCAACTGAGAAAAATACTCGCACCGTTAAAACCGACCACCCGTTTACTTTTTTTTCTTTGTTTTTTAGTCGATTACTCGCGTGATTTACCGTTATATCAAGTGGCTAATAATTCAAAAGTAACACTAAATTATATATCTGTATTGATTTTGTTGATAGAGTTACACGAAAGCAGCTCTGTATTGAGTTTTCCTATTGACATTGGCTTGTGTACACTGGCATCGTTCGGATAACGACAATTGCGATAACATTTGTACTAAATTCACAACGGAGACTATTTGAAGTAGTTATGACACCACGAACGCGGTTAATCGAATATTACCCGACGTCGCCATTGTTTCGTCAAAAGCCGAATTTAGGCCCTAAAATAAGACGCAACGCAAAAATGCCGACAACAAGTGACCTCAGGGTGACGAAAAAACACGATTTAACTAATTCAAGTTGAAGACACAAATTGTTGATTTGCTTGGCAAGTTTGTGGCTGGTATAGAACGAAATGCAATCAAGACGAAAGTACACGTTTCCCCCTTCAACGAAAACTTATGACAACATGACACGCATCAATATAACACAAAAATATAACGCTGGTGTGACGAACATACGTACAAAAGTAGTTGCGTTTTAAATTTATTTAAATTTTGTGACGACGTACAAATTTTTTTTTACACCTTATAATATAAGGTGTATCGTATGCCTTGGTGCATAATATGCACCAAGGCCGTAAAACGTAATTGAAAAAATACTGTTGATGTTTATAAAAAGAAAATAAAACTATCAAGATTAATAGTAAAAATAAAATAAATATTGTCACCGACCGATAGGTAAACTTCTAAATATATATATATATATTATGACTATTCAATAAACGTATAAATTTATATACATTGTCTGCACGCATAGTAATTAGTGACACTGAAAATTATTATTATTATTGTATTTAGATACAAAAATAGGCTTTTCTTTATAATTTGCAGATATTTAAGTGTGAAAATAAATGTCTTTGTGCAATTTTTATTTTTTGTCCAATGTAACAGACACTTAAAACAGTTTTATGATAAAATTCTTTAACACTTAGGAGAACACAGAAATTTACTGTAGTCTATGCTTGATTACTTTTTATGAAGCAGAATAACCAGAGTCTTTAAATTTGCATCGTTATCAACTATGTTTTTTATCGTTTCTTGATAAGAAAACATCTATTCTCTAGAGTTATTAATTACCATTAAAAAAATATTATAAACAATGGAAAAATTAAGTTAATATTACCATTGAACAATTTTAATTGTATATCAATGCATTTTGAATATTTCTATTAGTTATTGTATGCGTTTAAACAAAATCAATTAAAAAGTTGGTTTTTGAAAATGATTATGTATAAAGATATAATTTTTCAATAAACTTGGTGATTAAAATTAAAAAATGACAATAATATCGATTCGCAGTACATAAGGACCCATTTTCAAAAAAAAAAGTGCACATTAAATATTCAGGAAAGCACAAAGATATATGTTTTTAATTACATTAGCTAATTAATGTTATAAACATTAAATAACTCTCAATCTTAAGATATAAGCGCCCAGTTAATTATCCTCTTTATGGAAGTCATTGCATAGTAGAAAATATAATAAAATTACCAATAAGAAAGGAAGGTTCTCTTTCATCTTCTGTTAACGAGGCAAGAATCAGCAATAGAGGATGATTATGAGGTACTCGGTCCAAGTCTTCTGTACAGTCATCATAAACAACAATTTCCCGGTAACCGCGCCTCTTTAATGCTTCCTTAGCGTCTCTTGATGACGCCAACTCCACTAGAGTTGCTTTGCCGTTTTGCAACCGTCGGCGATTTATCCTGTCTGCAACGTTTACGTTGACGGAACCTCTGATATGACCAGTGTTGTAAGATACAAATGAACGACAGTCAATTGTCAAAACGGCTGGACCATAAAGCTCCAACTTTTGTCTCAATGTATCGGCGTCCAATCTCTTAACCTGAAGTCAATGACGTTATAAGGTTAAAAAAAATTGTTAACGACCTCAATGAATCATTTAAAACGCTAACTGATCAATGTTTATTAACTTATTGACCTTATGATATTAAATAGTCTTCACTAAGAACCTATCATGATGTCATCACTTTAATAGTCTATATTTAACGTACACAATAGTATAAATAGTATTTAATTGTTATTTGTAAATTAACGATGCATTTGATTAAAATCAATCAATCAGAATCTTTTCCGTAAGGTTCGAACAGTTACCGTTCAAAAATTAATTAAGTTGAGAGATTTTTTAAAAGAAATTTCAAATTTTAATTACCTTGCTGAGTAAAAGGGCGCTGCTTAATGTAGCACCCTCAGAGTTAGGGCTAGCTGGTAGGCTGGCCGCAAGGCTGAGAATGGGTTCCAATCGAAACCGTTTGGAATTAGTCGGTGTTGTCACTGTAACAGGGACTGCAGGACCAGGTTCACTAATGCTCCTATTCAAGCTCAGTCTGAGACCAGCTCGGGATCTGCCACCTACTCCACCATCATAACAAACGGCCGACATTGTACAACGTTGCTGATGCGTCCTCAAATGACACACTAAAAACAAATAATTTTTAACAATAAAAAAATCATTAAGTCAAACTCTAACACTATTGAAATAAAACTAACAGAACAGCAGTAATCAATTTTTTTATAATATCTATTAAAATTAAGATAATAGTAATTTTAACCTAGAAAAAATAATCTCTATTGAACATATAAACGGACTAAGATATACTATGCAAATGACTGATATCGGCTAATGAAATATTATCAATACATTAAAATGATCAATGTATAGTACAAAAATAGGTATGCTCTAAGCTATGAACACCCAGGCGAGTTGAGATAAATGAGGTTTAAAGAACTACTAGGCGAATAATAAAGTCATTTTTTGAAAATATATCTGATTGATCAGTAAAAAAACATTATTTATTAATCTTTAGAAAATAATAATAATATAATTTACTTTTACTTAATTTCCAATACAGAATACAAAAAGGTATATATTACACAGTAAATTTAAACTTATTATGCGTACCATACAAAATAAACCATAATAAATATATTTACAATTCTGTTTTGAATTATATAATACTGTGTGGTAATAAAATTATGTTCACAGGACGTAGAATCAGGTGAACAACGTTGTTTTTAAATATTTTGATTTAGTAATGAACGTTAGCATAATGTTCTCTCGCTGTTAATTTTATACGACACTACAATACGCAGTGGTCTTCAAACTCATATTGAAAATGCACTAACGGATAATTTACTACATGTACAACAATTCAATGTAAAACGTTCGAGTTCACTGAAGGAAGAATATATAAAAAGGGGGGAGGAATAAAAATCTGTAGCATTTGCTACTCAAATTTCATTGCTCTCGTGGTGTCGGTAATGTTAATATCCAGTGAAAATTCTGTAGACTACAAAATAGGTGTTCTTTTCAATATCTTACGAGAGCAATTAATAAAAAAAATTAAAATGATAATAAATTTAGTCTGGAATAGTTTTTTTTTTTATATATTTTTTAAATCAATAAACTCCGTCGAGCTTTCACTATCGTGTCGGAGCATAATATTAACTTTTCAAAAATATCCACAGGAGTTACCTTCTTTCAAACACTTAATACCAGTATGAGTCATAACACTTATCAATATTGTATAATGAAGTCTAATGTGTTAAGTGACGAAGTGAATAAGTTTGGTATTCAGTAATCGATAAATGAACACTTGACACTGACAAAAGAGATTGACTAAGAAATCAGACGAACAAAGATATAATAAATTTTCTAGACAACATAATAGAAATGAGTTAAAGTCGAGAGAAAATCGATTAGTTTAGTACGTCAACAGAAAAAAAAACGTTATCATTAAGATAACAAGTAATTAAAAAATCATTTTTAATTAACTTTTTTTTAATTCTATTCGACGTATAGGAAACAATAACGTAATTTTTACTTAAAATAAATGTAAACATTTAATAAACAGTGGCGGTTTTTGTAGTAAAATAAAAAAAAAATACTGTTGAAAAAGTAAACCCACTCGGACAGGTCACAGTATACACCTGCACGAGGTGAAAGTTGGCGTAGTGTGTCGTCTCAAAATCAAAACAATAATAAATCCAATTATGGATGTGAATACTAGTTTTGGAAGATTTGTAGCACTTACCCCGACCAACGTTAAACCATGCATTTTTTACATTAATTCTTGGCCCCGGCAACAATCCCTGTGGTTGGCGCCCATTATTAAGCGACACACACACAGGTAAACGACACACTCGTGCACATACACTGGTAAAGAATAGTCAACTACAATGTCAATTAATATTTTTACTTAACCGATACATACATAATACAAACGGACCGTACGCGAAAGACGGATGAACCCGTGTGACGGTGATATGTGCTGTATCGCCTTCACAGCCGAGCGCGCGCGTTGGCCGACAGTCACCGGCGGGCGGCCTCTTAATCACAGCAAAAATCGATTGCGACGGCTTATCAATACTAACAGAGTACCGAATCAGTCATTTTTTTTAATACAACTTCTAGATAGAATTGACATAGGTGTTTAAAACAGCAAGACAGTTATCTGATTTGTTTACATAAAAGTTCTATTAGCGATGCCGCGATCACCTAAATCGGTTCAACATCGATGCTAACATTACCGCACCATCGATGCCGGGACAAGAGAACGGCCGATTGCAAGCTATGGTGTCAGTGGAGGTGAACGGCGACGGCACCGATGAGTCATGCAATCACATGCCTATACACAACAACGCAAACGGTACGCACGCGGCCCGAATCGACCTTACGAAACCACCGCGATGGAGTGTACGGCGGCCACGGTGGGAATGGGGGGGCCGTTCCGCCGCCCGTCCATCACAGGTGGAGAGGAGAACTTCGTACGCGCAACCTTGCCCCGGACTTGTGTGTATGTAATAACATACACATATACATTCGGGTGCCACCGAAGGGGAAAAATCTACTCAATAATTGAATATTCAAGTATAACAATGTTCACCCGTTAGCGAATTTATTACTATAAATTAAATTAACACATCTCAGCTGACTGTAAAAATAATATTGCTCATTAGTTATCACTTCCAACCGATACTATCAAGAACGCGTATAGTCTAGTTATGCATTATAGCATTTATACACTAATAGCATAGAGTGCGTCGAGCATAACAATAACAATGTCATTTTTGAAGAAAATAAAAATATATTTATCTTTTATGAACGAACATTTATCAGAACAGGGCAGGTGGAAGAGCAAAGCCATCAACGCACTTTCCTAGAACGCTGCGCCGCTTCATATACACATAAATAAAAAACAAAGAAAACATTTTTTTTATTAAAAAAAATAAAGGACGCCGGTAAATTAATTTTGCATTGGCAATATCTAGCGCAGTTACAAAATATTCACAGTTTTTAAATAAGATGATAAGTGACCGCAATAATTGATCGTTCGTTGTTTCAAAAACTAACAATGCTTATAATTAGTGTTATTATTTTTTTTGTCTTGTAGAATTACATTATCAATGTCACTTCATCTGTTACATAGAAGCATACTTAATAACAATTTATATGCATGAAGATCATAGCACAATGAGTGTTTAGTATGATCCAGCGTGATAGACCATTATCATTACACCATAAAGTTACTCCTCACCCATTTCTGTCTTATCTAAGGCCAATAGTTCAAATATTGTGACGTTGATGCGCCTAAGAAAGTATTGATCAACTATCTTAATTAAAATATAAATGTTGTTTGGAAACTGTGAGAAAACAATAATTAGAATTTAACTACAATTGTATTGTATAATAAGTATTGAATAATTTATTAAAGTTGAATAATATATAATAATAATAATAATATGAGTTACTGTTAGTCAACTAAACAATAAAAATTGTTTAAAACCAAAATGTTCAACTCGACAAAAATAGTTATTAGTTAAATATTTAAAACATATTTATTTTATTGCCTACACATTCCTAAAAAAGCTAGAAATGAATTATTTGTTAAAACTTCAATTGAGTAACTTTTTATTTAAAAACTACAAGATAACAGATTTTAATTATTTAATTTGTGGCGCTAAAAACAAAGTGGCATAACCCCAATGATAATTAATTAAGTAATAAACTATTAGACTAATTGAGTTATTATGACTGGTTTATTGTTCAGAATTATAAATTTTACTTACTCAACAAATGTATTAACCAGGAAATCAGTACAAATAGATAAAAATGTAAAAATCAATCGACTAACATGATTTTTCTTTTTATTAAATAATAGACTTTTCAGTTTCTAAGAATGAATTTTCATAAGGTAATATATGAAGATAATCACAAAAATGAAGTGTACTATTAACAGATATATATACATGTTATTATTTAAACTAGCAACATCCTTGAGAGTTATAATACACTAATTGCGATTGTATAAAAAAATATAATGAACAAATTGTTAATAATCTTCAAAATAATTATTTTTTAATTTATTAATATTTAAAAAATACTGATTAAAAAAACATAATTAATGGATTTATCAACAAACAAATGTTGTGTATGGAATCTTTTTACGTTCATTTTTAAAAATGAAACTCAAATAATTGAATAGTAATTTTACACTGAACTAATGATTTGTATGATAAATAAAATTATTGAAAAGCACATCAGTTATACTTTAATAATTATTGCAGGTATTAATACTGATTTAATTTTACTGTTAGCTGACGCGTAAAACGATAACAGTTTATTATTATCCATAGTAAAAAGGTTAAAATATAACATATACGTTGTAATTTTAGAAAACAAAGAAAATCTTATTAATTTACATTAAATCATTGTTTATACTGTTTTGTGACTAATATTTTTCTCCCTAAAATACAAATCTAGACTATAATAAGAAATGTATTTTATTATTGAGAGAAATTAAAACCAAATGTATACAAATACATTCTGGTTTGACTAGATGTCTTATTTACAATTTGAACGAGTATCATTTGTACTGTTAACGAGGGCAAAGCATCGAATTAAAATAATATTAAGTTTAAGTTATTATATTACATCAGGCTGGTTATGATAAAATTTACAAGGATGTTGCTTAATAACAAAATATATTTACGCAACCATTTATCCCGTGGACACATGAAACTCGATGCAATAACATTTTACAAACGGGTAACGGTCACAAAAGGGTAAGAAAATCTGTTGGTGTATGACTCACCTGTGACTCTATGTAATATTATATTGATCTTTCATTTTGGGGAGGAACTATTAGAGTCTCGCACCGGAGATTTTCTTTTGGCGGGAACAACGGGTCGGAAAAACCACTACTACGGTAGTAAAAAAAAGAAACAACATAAACCGAAATATTGTCAGAGTGTCACGACGGCGGTAAAAAGTTTAATTGATATGAGGTAATGTTGATTTTTAGTTGTTATTGAAACGCACGGTTTGAACAGAACGCATACAGTTATGCACTTCGCCGGTGGGTACGAACGACAAAATACTATATCGAAATTTTCAAGGTCCGACTTAGCACTGCGGTCGTGCGTTGTATAAAATGTATGCGAACTTGGTCCGTATAAATCTAAAAGCGCCGATGACTCATGTCGTAAGAACCAACGCATACGAACAGACACTATACTCTGGTTGGTCGACACGTTTCGTATACAACTTAAAAAAAAAAAAGTCATTGCTAACACCGCTAAAAAAACAACAATAATAATATTAGAACACTAATAACTTTGCCGTGACGCGCTATTAGAGTATCTATTGCGCTAACAGCATCGATTATACTTTCGTTCAATATAATTATTGTTATTTGCGTCTCATAGTAAAAAAAAATTACAACTGACCATGTCCGTCCTTAAGTTTTCTGCTTACTAATTACAACAAAATGTATTTTCTTTGCGCATAACAACATTATCGTTATTCAACATGAAAAGTCCTAGTCGACGGAACCGTTTTGTTTTACCTCGTGTATTAGACACTTAGCATTACTCGCGACTTTTTACATATTGATTTTCCAAAGCTTGCTAGGCCAACGATTACTGTCAACCTGCTACTGATAATAAATTATATTTCTCCATGTGCGACGACCGTGTCACGATAATAACAGGTGCACGACTAATTGTTTTGGAACGGGTCAAATACCTCATTCAACGATGGATATAATTAAGTAACAGCAACTAACACAAAAAAAAGCTCTCTATCTTTAGTACCAAGCCAAAAATGTGTCAGTTACGGAAATCCATAAATACACCGATGTGATCATAGGAATGACATTTTCGCGCTCTCCATTTTCGAAGTCAAGGGCGTTTATTTTCTTTTGCACATTTTTTAGAACCTAACTATTTGGCGGTATATTTAAAACAAATATATCGTTTATAAAAAGCCAAATATTACTTCTGCAACGGAATAACAAAGTGAGTCATTTTAAAGTGCCTCATTTCAGCGCAAACATTTTTAATCATAAATCTTATTATAATTTAATGATGGACATTTTTCTAAATGTTACTTTTTTCATTTCAACAAATTTTTCTACAAACCAAATAAATATGAATTTTTATTAAAAATATACCGATAAAAAATCTATACTGGTGTATTTAATATTTAATATATTCAAATAGTTAAAATTATCTTACAGCGTCTTTGATCACTCGTCCTGTGTTTCTATTATTAATATAAAAATCTTGTAAAGAATTACAAAGCTATTTTATTTGTATGTTTGTCTTTAATTCGTGAGGGATATTATACAAAATTAATGAAGATCTCACATTTAATGTATTAGTGTTTCTAACATTTTTGTTTCTTTTTCTTCAATGATTTCTTAGACAGGAATTAATTTTCGATTCATTTATGAATCATTAATTAATCAAAAGTTAAAATTAATATTGAAAATTATTTTGGGTTTCTTTTAGGTGCATATTTTTTTTTATTTTCTCAATCATTAAATATTATTAATGTCTATCCCTTATAAGAGTGACAACTTTATTTGTTCAATTGAAAACATACATAATTTACTAGTTTATGTAATAGATAATGATCCAATTAAGAAAATGACTGATCACTAACATTTTTTAGAAGCCGTATTTCGGGTTATTTATATTTTTTACCTAAGCGGGAAGAAGAGTAATCAGGAATTGACTAGTGATAAAAATAACAACACTCACGTCTCACCTTCAGTTATCGCTATAAAATGTCAATAACTTCCAGAATAGTGGTCCTAAAATTTGTCATCGATAAGTCATTTTCTTAATTATATACTTTTATTTAAAAATAAACTAGTTAATTATGTATGTTTCCATTTAAACAAATAAAGTTGACACTCCTATAAAGGATGGACATAAATAATACCGAATGATTGAGTAATTAAAACAAATATATGCTCATAAACGAAACAAAAAAAATTCTCAATATTAATTTTATCTTTTGATTATTAAGTAGTTCTTGATAAATGAATCATTCTGTATATTTCATATATATGCACATAATTCCGGACCCTACATATAGCCAACAAAGGAATTATAATAAAATTCCTCTATTTTACTATGTGAAAGAACAAATTATTAACCGATCATTAATTTTTATTTTTACTTGCCTTGATTACTGCTTCATTCAAGACGACACTTCATAGCTATACTTAGTTCGAAATGGCTAAAATTTAAACAATATGATCTATTAAAGAGATATGATCTATTAAGTTTCAACAACAACAATCCAAATAATTCAACGTAATAAGATAGACTGAAAAATTTATAATTCTTTAAAAAAGACAGAACCTAAAATAAAGAAATGTTCAAGGAAACAAGAGAGTAGAAATAAATGATAGTGGTGATGAGACATGTTCAGCCGCCAACTGCGTAAAAACCCTAGAAGATTTGAATTCGTTTTGTTCGCATCCCATAAGCATTTATGTTTCAAAAATGGTGGACGTTTTAATGAATTCTTTATTAATAATAATAAATCAGTGGCTAAGTTATCAGGCCCGGATTAACAAATCTAAACTACAGATCAAAATGTTCTTTTTCCCAAAACAAGTCCATTTAATTGAAATCCACGGCTCCCCTGTCCCCTTAATCCGAGCCTGAATAATATTAAAAATTTAAGCATTAAAAATAAAAATCTTACAAGAATTGTTTCAGGTTCAATGAAATGTTACTAAAAGCCGTAGACACTATGAATAGTATTTTATTTATAATAAATATTTGCTACAGATCTAAAATGTAGAGTTCGATTTCCGGTTGACTGTACAGCACCTGTTGATATCACACGTAACAGAAACTTTGCATAAAGGAGCGTTTTGAAAAAGAAAATTGATAAAAAAACTATGTAAAGATAAATAATTACATACGTCTGTATGCTGAACAAAAATAGTATAACCATTTGACGTACTTAGCCATTCTATAATTGAAAAATATATAACAGGCAGTTTGAAAAAATCAATAAAAAAAATAATGAGTTTTTTTTTTTTTGATACCTAAATAATAAGTATATTTGATAGGTACGTACTCTATTAATATTTAAATTGTATAGTATTTAAAATAAATTGCATTTTTTTACTTTTGTAGGTAATCCAAAGTATATTTGTGGTTTAATAAACTATAAATATATACATACAGTAACTATCCTACGTCAAATAGTTAAGCTTTTAAATATAAAAACTCAAATATCCTTTTTTTAGCCTCGTTTTAGAAAGCGCTTGATTTAAGCTGTTGGAAATTTAATATTTTGTTATTTACACACAAACGTACACATATATGTATACAGGAAGAGTTTTAAAAACATTAATATTATAAAAGCATAATAAAGTTAATCACGGTCACATTATACAACTGCTTTACTATAATATTTGTGTGATATATTCTATACATGCTTTGGGATATCAATTGATGCATTAACAACTTTTTAACTAATCATTTAAATTATTAATTATAATATCACTATTTTCAACGTCTTTCCAGAATTAGTAAAAAAATGAAAACTACTCTACTTATAGAAATTACACTATCCATTATTTATCTTAAACGAACTCTTAAACATCTATTCTTAATTATTATCCAAAAATTTACAATTAACCTATAACCTTTCAAAAATGTCTTCATCTATTGAGTTTTGTACTTACCGCGATCATTACAGTTATTGATGGACAAGGACCGTTTTCTGGATGGTGACTGAATCTCAGCTAATCTCGGTATAGCTATTCCAATCATGTTGACGTCTAAAATAAAAAATAAATACTAACACTATTAAATTGCTAATACAATATAATTTTAAGAAAATTAAACCCCTAGTTCACTTAAAATTATACTAATAAAAAATTAACAATATCGTATTTTTCAGTGGATGTTTATTGTGTTTATTTCCCTTGAGCTAGTTTGCAAGTAAATGTCCCAAAACAAAATTAATGGCTCGTTTTCTAATAATAAGTACTCTAAATTATTTATTTTGTACAATTCTCTTGATTCGCATCTATATATGTTTGTTTTAATTTCTTCTGAAACTATGTAAGGTCCGGTTATAATTGTTCTAAAGTTACTTTTATTTAGTGTATTTTTGGAACCTTAAACATTTCTAAATAAATTGAAATTAATGGTCAATTTTTATAAATAATTATGCTATGTTCAAGATTAATTGTGAAAACTACCTTTACAAAGGTTATGTGTCTTACATCGTCTCGTAATAGTTATCTTATATGATATGGAAATCATTAATTTAAATTATTAAAAATTATATTTTTAATATTTTGAAAAAAATTCTGGTAGGGATTTTAAACATTTTCTTGTTTTATCACTCACTTTGAAATTAATAGTTTTTTTTTTTACTTTTAGTAGTTTTAAGATCAAAAAAAAATTATCAATATAATTTTAAATTATATTCCTCCTAAAAAAATTTCTGTTTGCATTAGCGGATAAGGTAATCTTAACATTTTTTAGTTTTGCTAACAGGGTGTAGTGAGGTTGGTCTGGAGGTCCCCGAACTCCACCTCTCCTCTACAAATATGCCACATATTTAAATAAGCACAGCCTCCCACTTAAGAAGAGTCAAAATTAATAATGAAGTTATATTTAGATCACAAATTCTATAGATAAAAATATTGGCCTGTATTACACAAATAAATTTAGATTTTAAGTTGATATCATCAGTTTGCAATTTCGATGTTAACACTGTAACATTCAATTTCAAGGGCGAACGATATTGAAAATAGACCACAGATATTCAAAAAATTGTAAGACAAATGTTATTTCAACTAACACTTCATTTAATTCGTAGAAAACAAATTTAAAATCAATAATCGTGATTCAGATACAAAGGAATTTTTTAAATTTCATAATGTTTCTCTGACATTCCTCAAGTATTAGTATATTGGAAAAACTGATTCGTATTTATTTTACAGTATCAGGGTCCCCTTAAGAAAACATAATTCTTTAAACGTCTTATTTAATTATACATGATAAAATATAACGTTTTCCCTTTACGGAATAGGTAAGATTTTACTAATTTATTTTATTTGTTATATTGTTTGTGATGCATACAAATGTTTATTAGATGTTTCATAAACAAACGGATTCATGTATAAGCAAAGAAATTTGATGAACGTATAGTAATTGTTTAAATTATTGTTTACCGTTGAGTAAAAAACAATAATATTAGGTAAAAAATACAATTAGTTAACTATTTAAACAAAAGTAGGTCACATATTTTTCTTAACGAAATTTGATGATAACATTAATAAATTTGACGAACAATTTTCTTCCTTGCTATATCTATTTTGTTGGACTTCAAGCAGTTAAAAAATCTATCTATTCTTTCGATATACAAAAAAAAAAAAATACATTTATTTATTTTATTAAAAAAAAATTATAAGCATCTATGACAGAGTTAAGATTAGATAGTATTTTTCTTACCTATAAAATTATTAATCCACAAACTAATTATACCACAAAAATGCCACGTTAAGAATCACGTCGGAGTAAAAACTATTACACTGACGAAAAATATTTATCCGACTGATCAGCACAGCTCGACGGTATAAAAAAGAGTGACACTCATATTTCTGTCACCATAACCGCATGCAGTAGAAACGCAGACGAACCTAATAGCCTTGAGATACTACAATTTGCTACTATGATTGACCTTAATGCAGTAAAATATAAATATTAATACAGGAACCATAACAAAAAACGATTATAGCGGAAGGACGAACATCGAGTTTAGTGTAAATCTTTGTAAGCAATTAGATTTGTTTTATTTTAAATCATTAATTTACACTTTTTATTGTATCGATATTCTTGGAGACCATTGGTTAGTGTAAACTGAAATTTCACTATAATAAACGAAATAATCGTAACTTAATATTATTTTGTCTATTATCGTAAGATAAATTTCTTCAATGTAATTGCATCAAAGAAAAACAGTGATTTAATTTAGTAAATTTAGTATAATTGATTAAATGCTTTACTAAGAAATGACTGAAAAAATTATTAAATTTTGATTACAATCACAAAATTATCCTGACATTAAATGTTTTAAATATTGAAAACTTGTACAAAAAATACAATAATATAATTATTTGAGAGGCATACTATTACAAACGATAAATAATCAGTCACTAATTTTTTATTCACACAGTAAAAGTAAATAATTTCTCAATATACAAGAACAATATGTTAAGTATGAGATCAAATTTTAGACTAAAAATTTATAAAAAAAAAAAAAAAGTATGAGTAAATTTTCAACAAATAACTAATTAAAAATTATGAGCAATTTTTTGTCATAACTGAAAGAGAACTGTCACCTTTTTTACTTCCTCAAACTTTTTCTTTTTGAAATTAATCAATCCTATGCATTTTGAATCTCAACTTCGTAAATTCTTATGTTGTCAAGGATTAATAATCGAAATTAATTATGTAAATATAAATAAAAATCGGGTAATCGGTTCGTATAACAAATCAATTCAGAGGCCTACTAGAATAACCCGACAACTACTTTTTGAAAATTTTTCAAAAAAACAAACACTATATGTTTTATACTTAAACACAGCTATAACTCGATGAATAATCATTGAACGTATTTTTTTATTGAATCTTTACAAAAAGTCTCTGCTGTATAATATTATATCAAAAAGTTAATTTTCAAAAAAAGAATAGTGATGACAAGTTATAAAAGAAGTCTCTTCAATTAGAATTTTAATTTACTTTGAATTACAAATAAAATTCGATATATTAGTACTAAATTTTCAGTATAACTAATTACAATTTGAACGATATTTAAAAGTAAATTACTTCGACCAACACTGCTCTGTAGACATCATTCATTCTATGTCTGTTAATTAACTAAATAATCAGAAATGATTGCCGCTAAATTATAGTTAAAACGTACAAGATAGTGTTTTCTTTTTTCCACAATCTTGGCTGAAAGTTAATTTTTTGTAAAATTAATAAAATGTACACAATATTTTTTTATATGATGCACAAGTTTTACACGAAAAGAAAAATATTTATACTTAATACTTTATAATAGTAGAATACTACAATTATTAAGTAACAAAGTGTAATTGTTGTATTATTCATACTTGAATACTATACAGTATAAATGTGGACCTCGTGTATATAATATATATCATCATGAAGTCATTATTTATGTTTGACTCATGATATATTTCCGATTATTAGACATCCAATTCTATAACAGCCTTTTGAAAGAAATTCCTCGAAATACAATTAAAATTTTTTTCTTGAGTTGAAGTATTTGTTACATAATAATATTTAAATATCACAGTTTTATATCAAACTTTTTTTACACAAGTGTGGACACTTTATTATAGACTCAAAGAGATCAATATGAGTATACTTCATCTAACACGGCTTCAAAAACGTATATCATCTCCAAAAACTTGAAGCTATATAATATTACTAAAAATATCTATTATTCCGGTTACAAATAAACTTTTGCCTCTTTCAATACATCAAAAATGTGTAACGCTGCCCAACTTATATGAACAACGGTTTAAATAACGAAAGAAATCGTTTTTAATAAAAAAACGTGTTTGTGTAAATATACTACCTTCCTCTTCGCCAATCGCTGAGTTAGATATACTTGTACATAATTAAAATAACAGAAAAAGGTATTTTTCCATAATATAACTAAAAAAGACAATAAAAAAATTTAATTTTTTTTATCTAAGTATATTTTTTCCAGGATAGTACAAATGCTTTTTGCAAAGGTATATTCGTTCCTCTAATTAATGTGTGTTGTATCCTAATTCAATAAAAATACTCAGATAAATCAAATTGGAAAATTAGAAATGTTTTAAAAGAAGGAAGTTAAAAAAAAATCAATGAAAATTACAGCCAAATATTTTATTTTTTTAAATTTTAAGTCTAAATTTATTGAATTTAATTACAACAATTAATATTTAATTTTAAGTGATTTTATTGTAATGAAAGATACAATATTTTTTTTAGTTGGGATTCTTATCAACTTTTAATAATAATTAAAATTAAAAATAACTCGGTATTTTAAAAATATCGATAAAATGGCGTAGTTTTAATAATTTTTTTAAAAAAGTAGTGCATAATAATATAATATTGTTTATTTATTTTTGTGTTCATTGAAAAAAATCAATATACTGATTAATATTATTAAAGCTATCTTTAAGTATCAGTTACAAATCAGTTTATGGACAATTATGTAATAATGTAATAACACAATGGTATTTAAGTTACAGAAGTAATGCTTTGTATAAAATTAGCATTAGCCACAGGTCTATATCTGGGAGGGCATCTGATATTACTCACATTATTTTTCTTAGAAATTATTAAATTTCATATTAATAGGCAATAATATGACGTTTTTTCCAATTGGAAAGGTTGTAAAGCATATAGCCCCATTTTATACATGATTGTTTAATTGTGTACATCAAATAACAAATACATAACTTATAAAATTAACACTATAAATTTTCTCTAATGAAATTTATTTTGTAAAAGCATTGTAATAATATTATGAGCTATTATCAAGGAAAATATTGACATTTTTTTTTGTGTTAAGTATAACAGTTAATTATTGAATTTTTTTAATGTTTTTAACATTTGTCATTTTTTTTGGCTAAATATATGATGTGATATCTTTGTAACGAAACAAACTTCCTAAAATTGGTTCAGGCTATAATATCATTAAACTTAAGATTTTGATAAAATTTCATTTATATGACCGTATAGTATAATGTCTCTTCATCATTTCTCCCTATTTACCTTATTTATACATTTTTTTTAGTTAATGAAAAATATAATAATAATTGTGATTTCAGAATCATTTTAGAGTAATACAAACAAAGCTGCATCGAAAATGATTCAGTTAGTTTAAAATGTTTATGAAACTTTCTATTTTTAATTTTTAAAAAGAAATTGAAAATTAGCCTAAAAATGCATTTTTATAATAAATTCCATTAAAATAGCACAGCAAAAATAGACATACATTATTTTAAGAATAAAAAAAAATTTAACGACATTTTTATAATCAGCTTGTAAAATATATTTATTCAATAGAATCTAGATACAACATTGTTATATTTTATTTTGTATTTAGCAGTAAAAAGAAACAATTATTTAAATTGATTTGAATAAGCAATAATTTAGCAGATGGATTTTATTTTATTTATATAGCTATGAATTCATAGCTACGTAAATATAGTCAGAAGCGGTCAAGTGATTTTTCCGTGGGAGGGGATGAATAATTATTACGTTTTAGGGATTTTTTATTCATACCAAGACATTATTGGACTACAACATATGCATAAATGATTTTTTCCTTATTAAGCTTATTAAAAATATTTAATTTATTTTAGAATAGTACCCCCTTGAGTTAACATACTATAAATAAATAACCAAGACTTAAAATTTTATTTTCAAAATTTGTAAAATTAATAATTTGGTTATATTAACTATAACTAAATTTTAGTATATAAATTTTCCAAAATATAAAATACATATACCTAATGAAAATTGTACAAAAATGTATTAATAATTTAATTTAAGGGTATGTCAAGGGGTATCTATCACTCTGTAATCCCTTCCCATTTGACCTCCACTGAATACAGTATATTATATTATTGAGCATATTATACTCAATTGTAATAAACAATCATGTAAATTTGAATATGAATTTTTCTACTGGAATTAATTAATTAATTTAACAAAAATTCGTAATGAGTTATTACTCATTACTATATCTATTAGTTGTTTTTGCACTAAATAAGTATTTCAACTGTTATCAAAGTGTTATTTAATAATCATAATGATTAAGTAAATATCTTATTAAAATTACTTAATATTTTTAAGTTAGTAGTTTTTAGGTTAATACTTTTCATTATAGAGAACAAAGTGTTGAGTTAAGCATAAGAAGAATATCTCAATTACCTTGGTCAAGAGACTCGTGTCGTTTCAAACGGCTCTTGCCGAAGCACATTTTCAGTGTTTTCATCCCCCAAATCTTCCTATGTTTCTTATGGGCTATGCCCAAATCCGTCGCATCTCGACGCATATTTTAGTAAAAAGAGAAAAATATAAGTTTTTCAGAAAATATTTACACGTGTTTTTATGAAACAGCGAAAGAACGCACAGTAGTCATATAATATGAGTAGATAGGTGTTATGTTAAAAAATGAACTGACTTTGTACAAATTACAAAACTATGTGAGAATATAATATATATAAAAAAAATGTTTATGCGTTGTAACTTGCGTAGAGTCAAAACCGACAAGGTTCACTAACTTTCAATGTTGCACTTGTATAAATGTTCCCGTTTCACGTAAACCGTAATAGCTTGTCCACAAATTTACGATAAGATAACAAGTGATGTTTGTCGGGTATATACATTATGTTAATGAAATTTACCCAGCTTAATTAGATAATATCTAAATAGAGTGTATGTTATACACTCTAAGGTTAAAAATACGTATAAAAAACGGGTTTCTTCGAAATTTCACCAAATCTTTTGAATAACAGAAGAAATATTATTAAAAAGATATTTAATAATAAAAGTAATAAATTGTATTCCGTTTCCTATAATTATATCAACGGTCATTCACCGCATATGTTCTATTTTTACAAGGAAAAATATATATTTCTACTGTTTTATTGTAATCTATTTTTGTCTAAAAATTTTAAATCACTAGCCGACCCCTCAAGATTATAATTTTACGATACATTATTAGCACCAAAACACCTGTCCATCGATGATTTATAATAATTACTTTACTTATGTCGCCTAACACTGATGCTTATCTCCTATACACATACTTCTGCACACCATTATTTTTTTAATATTTTGACGTTGTTAGTGGCATTTGACAATGAAAACTGTTCAAATACTCAGTGGCGCCGATACCTTAATATATTACAGACAATTAGTTGAAACGTGCCAACTTAGCGTTTATGGAAGGAGTTAAAATAAGTTTAAAACATTTAAACAAACATAGTCGGTCCATCACCTGAAATAGATTCGGCGCCACTATAAATTATATTTCCAGTGCAACTAAACATATTTCAACTGCACAAAACATGTTCATGTCATATCTGTTTGAAAATCCACACACACATATACGAACGAGATAATTGATTTGAATTGTCTTTTATTTATCATCAATAGTGTGTATAAGGAAAAGCACGAGGCGGTGCGGCCTCTTCTCGTGCAATTTTTATAAAATATTATTCATCATTTTATTATGAACTGAACTCAAAAAAAAAGAAACGTTGTAGAGCCTAAGTTATTATTTAAAAATTAGAATAACAAACGAAACTCAAACAGAGGAATGTGTTTAAGCTTAAATCCGTAGTTATCTTTTGTTCGGCGGTTGCTGTAGTCGATTGGCGGCGGTGTTGTTGTTTTTCCGGCCCCATGTTTTCCGCACGTAAGCTTTTGAAGGGCCGTGATAGGATGTTGCCAAGCGCACTTTAGCAGACATTTATAATACTATAAAAAACAACAACAATGATAGCAACAAAAACTCCAGCCGAGGGTCTGAATCCAGATTAAGACGGAAATATTGTGAGTCATCAGCTCGGAGCCGCATACCCGTATTGCCGCTGTTCAGTCTCCTGTGCTTATTAATAGAGTGAACTCGAAGGGACCTCCCACATAAACGCACATCACGAGAAACATCATATGCATAAATGAACCTTTTCCGGTCAGTCGCTTTTTAAAGTTATGACAAAAACAAAAGAATGTCGCATTCAGACAAAATAATGATCGTACTATGACCATTTGTCTTAGTATATAACCAAAAAAAAAAAATGTATGGTGGAAAAATATGTATCCATTTTTAATTAATACTTAGTTGCAAAGGTTTAAATGCCTAGGGAAAACATAATATAATTATTTTATCTATTTTGTGTACAATTTATAATTATGAAAGGATTATGTCTCAATTCTTGATTATTGATAAATTTGAGATTTTTATCAACAATTTTTTTTTTTTTTTTAAATAACATGGTTATTTCAAACCATCGTATCTGAACATTTTCGACAAAATATCACTTACGCCATTTAGTCTGCAAACAGTCGATATAATCAAAAAGTAGAAGCTATAGTTTTAATTAACGATTGCATTAGTTAATAGAAGATTAAAAATGAGTGGCGTCACCACTAAATAATTTTCTTTGGTGATTGAATAAGTTAACTATAATTACCGTATATCTCTTATGTCATTAATTGTCGTTATTAGTTAATACATAAAACAACATTTTCAATTCCTTTGAAACATCTAACATTCATTTTTAATTGTTAATAATTAGAAAATATTTTTTTGTTTAATAATATTAATGATTCAGGGCCTGAGTATAGATAATCCTATGGATTTTACTCGTAATAAATGATAAACACAGTTGTAATTTAGATTTATTATGACTGATGCGTATAAAAACAAAACGTTTCCTCTGTACTATTTGATTACTTACATTTCTTTGAAAATTATCAAATATATTTTAAAATACTTCTCAATTTTCAAATATTATTAGGTACAATTTGAAAATTAATTTTCATTTTTTTACTATAAATTAATTTAATAAAACATTTATTTGGTCAAGTTACGATCAAGTTTATTTCTCTTAATCTTTCCGTTTGGTTTTCATTTAAAAATATTAATCATTAACATTGAAACACATTTTTTTACGCCCTGGCGACGACACATCACCGATACGACGTACGTACGAAGCGACGTCGTACCGAAACGGTATCTCCTCCAGACGACACTCCGTCCTCTACGATTCGCTTTTGCCGCCTTCTCTATATTGCGTTGCAAACCCTTAGTTTCTGTAGCGAAACTAGTTTTCTTTATTGCTATTTTCATAGTTTAACACTATATCATAGAAATATAATGATAGCGATAACAAATTCAACTGGCCACTACATCAAATACACGGTTTGGTTTTTAAAACTAATGAACTTAATAGTAAGGGGTATTGTTGTTTAAAATCAACAAATATAAATACATTTTGACTAAAATAAAAGTACAATATTTAATTTTTCATCAAACAATAACGTTGTTAAAAGTTAGTATAAATAATTGATAGAAAAAATATAATTAAATATATATCATTCATGTAATTTTTCAATATACAATTCATTAACCGAGTAACTGAATTTTTAAAATCTATTGAATAATAATTTTGATAGTTAAAACATGTTTCATTAGAATTGTATATTGAATTATGATTAAATTAAAGCACGTATTAGGTAATTTTTTGTCTTTAGACTTTCTATAGGTTCCCAAATATGACCTACAAAAAATACCTACATAAATAATACAATTTGCAGAGCTAATTATTTATGTATTTTAGAAAGATTTTTATTATACTCGGTGGATATTTTAAATGGTAGTTGTGATTAGACCATTATAGGAAAAAATAAATCACTGTTTGTACCATTAAATAATAAAAAGCAGTTTTAATGTCTATAACATGGATCCTAATCTCATTAAAAAAATTCAACATATCTCAAGGCTACTCACAGAATGTTTTATTTCTAGTATATATATTTTAGAGTATGACTTCACTTACATTTGAACTTCTTTAAGTAGTGCAAATACTTTCCGATCTCTTATAGAGGGTGTGGATATGTTTATTGTTTGATGATTTATTACCCAAGTAAAAAATAAGCATTTCAAATCGTTATAAACATGGATTCGCACTTATGTCTCCTCGATTTTAAAATTTTAGTTCGGTTTCCACGTAATAGGCATGACTTTAAAAGTTACTTTGACATTAATAATGGAAAGTATTTTTAACTGATTTTAAAAATAAAACTTTGTGTTTGGCGTGCTTTTGCTTTTTATCATAATATTATACCATATCTTTTTGGTGATAACTTTCTTAACAATTTTAAATTTACAAACTAATTTTTTTATTCATCATAATTATTTCCATTTTTTTTAATATAATAATGATAATTAAGAATAATTTATATTATAATGACTTTAAAACAGATGGTTAATTAATTCTTGTTTTATTTAAATATTCACCTTGACCTTAGTTTTAATTAAATAAATAAATTCTTAAATAAATTCTTGAAAAAATGTACTTTGATAGTAAATTCATATAAAACTAAATTATTTTAATTTTCTTTTATTAGGAATTTCATAAAACGAGCCAAATCCCTAAGAATCCTACCTACTATTAAAGTTAACCTATGTTCTCAATTGTATTTTTGTAATATTAATCCTCGTTCTCATTTAGATAGTTTGTTTTATTAACTATATAAGTTGATACGTTTATTTTGTATTATTAGTATCACCGTCTGTGGTAACAACAACCACACAAAAAATGTCATCGCGTCCTATTCATCCTATTCCAGATAACTCTAATAGGATTATATATTTATTATAAATTTTTTTACCTTTGAAACTTAAGCATCATCAAGTTCAAAACTCTATTTGTGCCTATGGGTTTATGGCTATCTTTATCATATTATACAAATAATTAGATGTATAAAATAACATACAAATTATTACCAAGTAATTTAGGCCTTAATTACATTATGCGAAATCATAATTATTAAAGCCATTACTACCGTAACATATAAATCAATATTTAAGATAAGTACTAGTACCGTAGTCAGAAAATTGATGGGGTTGTGAAGCACATGACCTTGAGGTAATCCAACTCTGTATAGTAAATAATTTAAAGCAGAGACATAGATGATAAACGGTGATGCACGCGAATAAAAATTGCAAGGACGGCATAGGGTTGTAAGGTATTTTTACATGTTTTAAAACGTCTTAGTTAAATATATTTAAGATGTTATACTGTTCATTTTTACTCTTTAATTTTTAAAAAATAAATAAGAATACATTTGATGTCGTAAACATAATAATAATTATTAATAATAATACTCATGCAATATATATTATAATTTATTACGTTTGATTAGCAAATAATACTCTATTTTGAAACCCAAGCCAAGTAAATTTAGGCGCTACGAATAATTTTGAGTACCAAAATGGGAATTTATACACCTAAAACATCCGATTTGTTCTAAATTTTAATGGCCTGGTAGTAGTAACATCTTTGGTTTTGCGATTAGTCATTACATTACATCGATTTCCGTTCTGAGGGTGGCAGCTAAACGACCACATTGAGCTTTTCTTCATTGATATCGTTTTAGATTAGTTGTCTATTCTTATCGCATTTCAATCCGTTAGTATGTGTGCTTATTTATCTGTAGCGAACAGTGTGATGCGACGACAACAGTTTGGGTTATCGCAAAACGGTCTTTGTGGTAATGTTAAATGTACAAAATACACACGACACGTGCCAGTTAGTCTGGTGCACGTGTAAGCTCTTCTCACCGCTGCCGGCGGGACAAATAACACAGAAGAGTGCCAACCCGCCGCGATAATGACTCATCTCTGCGTGTGCAACAAGGGAGTTTCGACTTTTAAAAATATACACACACATGTGACTACTGCGTCATGTGCATAAATACCAGCTAAATCGATCATTGCGCATCCTCATTTATCTGTTTTGTAAAGGTATAAATGTTTTGATTTATAGTGATTAAGTTTATCATTGGTCAAATATTGGATCATGACATGATTATTTCCTAATGTATAGTCTAAAATTAATACATTATGTAAAATTTAAACCAAGCGGATAATATTTTGGGCGTATTATTAAAATCTAAAATTAAACTATCTATCAGCAGTGATTTTTTTTAATCAATTTTATAACATAATTTTAGTAGCATTTAGTATGACATAGTTTTATACACAAATAGTATATTCTTTAAGTAAATTTATATTTAGCAACTATCACAGATAAATCGCCCAAACTAATAATTTCTAAATAAATATACATGAATTAACAAATATGTTAAAGTATGAAATTTGTGTTAATTGAAAATCTGTTGCAAATAACAATGTATGAAAAGAGAACAGTTAAATGGTTTTCTTGGCTTTTACGACACGTCTACTTTTTTAGAATGTTTGTTTTTATCTTCTGTCATTAATCATATGTTCCTGCGGTTGATATTTACAATTTAAAAGCTATGCTTTTTTTACGACCACCATATCTTTATTATAGCCTGAGGGTCATAATTCTATTATATGAAGTCATTCGCGCTATCCTGCTCAGGGCTACCCTGCACAATTTATGTAGGGTGCGTGGTTAAGTCTGTATGACTAATGGGCTATGTTAACACCCACGAAACCCCAACAACTGAGACCTAATTTTTAAACACTCCATTAATATACAGAAAGAACTAAAGCGTGTACTCCCAACAAGAATCGTCCCTTGGGAATTAAACCATATATTTCATAGAATGCGTTCAACATGTGCAACCCAAAGAATTTGCTTGCACTGATTTTCATCTGTGCATTTTATTACAATTTAAAAGTATACCGATGAACTGGCGTAATCATGGGAGGGATATGAGTGCCAAATCCCCCCTAAACAAAATTAGTTATATGGCGAAGATCTAATTTTTTTTGTCTAGAGCGGAAGTGAAAATTTTTCTGATATTTACCCCTGTGACAAAACCCTAATTTTGCCACTGTAACAATAGTGTTATTTTAATTACGAAAAAACAGATTATATAAATGTTTTTAATGAAGTTAAATCTAAATCTTGGCGGTGTGTAAATAATTATAGTTATATTTGATTATTATTACTAACCAATAGGTTAAAAAATTTCATATTTTCTTTACTTATTAGCTTAAATAAAAATGCAAAATTAATTTAAAACAAAAGTAGCTTTTAAGTAATTAAAAATATAATATAAAGTAATATTATATATTTATTATTATGTTAAATTATTCCTTTAATTTTATTCAAATATAAATGCAATTAAATGAATAATTAAACAGCTATTAACTGTATTATCTTTAAACAAATATTTATAGATAGAAATAAGCTTAATATTAATTAATTTAATATCTTTATTATCATTTTGGTGGTCACACTAGTTGTTGACATTACTCTAGTGTTAAGCCGCGCCTACCACTGTAGGTGAACGGATGGGTAACCATGCGTGCGCTTCTACAGTACAGGACTTAGCCTTTAGAAAAGAACAAAAAGAAGATTATCATTTTATATTTAACCATAGATGGCAGTGTTATTAGGATTTTATAATGGGGGGTATTATATATAAGACATTTTTTTCATTTTAATATTTAAAAAAATATCGATCCACACGTTAAGAATCTATAATCAAACCCAACAACAGATAATATTTTTGGGTTAGATTTCGTGTCTGGACATCCACAATGACGCCCTTGTTTGAAGGATATTTACTTCTAATATAAGTATAATAGCACAATTAAAAATAAAATAATTATTAAGTTTTAAGCGATGTTTATTGATTAATATGATTAACTAACATAATATAAATTTAACATTAATTATATGTAACATGGGAATAAATGAAAAGCGAATGGCATCGAGGGCTAGCCTATGCTTAGCTACGAGTGCAAAATTTAGGGTGGTGCAGAATTCGATTGGGTGAACAAAAATATTTGTTCCGCCTACAATGTACACCTTATTTTTGATCACATCCACATCTTAATCTGTTTTTCAGATATTAATCTAATCTATTCAATACTGTTTGATTTTATAAAATTAAATATATTTTTTTTTTAAATCCGTATTCTTTAAAAAAGTTGTGAACACATCTAGACGAAACATTTGATACTTAAATATGCAATGATTTTTAAAAATTTATCCGTAAATCAAATTAACAAAAAAATATGAACTAATTTATTAAATTCTTTTAATCCTACTGAATAATTTATTGGACAAAATGTTCATGGTATTTCTTTTAACGCTAGCCAATCAATTTTTTTTTAAATATTAAGTTTTATGGATATTTTCTTATTTTTAATTTTGCTAGTTACATATGTATTTCCATTTATCTGTTATAAAATGATTATTAGGTCCATCCCTTAACTTATAGGGGAGTAAAAATTATTTTTTTAAATGACAACATACATATTAAATTAGCTTATAAAATAAAAAATGGTCTAATTAAAAAAATGACTGGTGAATAACAACTTTTGGACCAGTACTTCGGAAATTATTCTCATTTTTATAACCAAGAGGGACGAAGAGTACAACTGTGACATGACTAGTGATTATAATAGAAACACCCATTCCTCACCACCAGTCGTTACTTTAAATTATTTATAACATTTAAAATACTGGTTCAAAAATTTGTTATCGAAAATTAAATTGGTACAATTTCTTAATTACATTTTTTTTTATCTTATAAGCTAGTTAAATATGTATGTTACCATATAAAAAAAGTTAACACCTTTTTAAGTTATAAGGGACGATTCTAAAAATTAATTATTAGTTGATATATCAAGAAATATATGCGATTAAAGGTAATAAAAATATTTTTTTAATATTGTCTTTATTTTGAGAATAATCGAGTGATTTATGATTAATCGATTACTCTGCATAATAATACAGGGACATTTATGTTTTAATATAAATGTATTAATGTTTTGTAAAGATCCTCACAAAGGTAACCGACGTCATTAACACTCATGTTAATGTTCCAGTATTGTATTTATAATTGTTTTACTCTTGATAATAAACCATAAATACAATTGTATTAAATATTATTATTATGTAAAAATATCATAAAATCCAGTTTCCAAACTCAATCAATTCCTCTTATATATTTTCATTTATATTCAATTTACTCATTTTTCTCGGTTCTGATTAACAAAATATAGTTCTATATTTAGGATTCAAACTAAGTTACGAGTTCTATTATATATTTATTATTTCAAAATTTAACTGGTTAATTGCTGTGGCGATTAATGAGGGGAAGTGTTAGATATATCGCCCCATTTTACTAAAACAATATATAGAGGCAACTTAAGAAAATAATAGTTTTAAATTAATTTCTAACTGAATCTGAAAGATTTTATGACCATCAGGTTTGAATTATGACCCAATGATCACAAAATGTTAATGAACTACTGTTAATAAACATTAGTTTATTCCATAGTTAATAATTGGTGGTTATTAAATGGTCATTGTTTAAATTAGAACAAATATAAATTATTAAAATTTTTAAAGATTTATTTGATACTTAAAAGATTGAGTATCATTTAAGTATCAAATAAACGTTTAAACTAATATACTATATTTCTATTGATACAGTTAATTCAATTAATGATTTGAATATTAAGTTTAATTCTAAATTATTTTTTTCATTTAAAAAAAAATTTGATGCTAATTACAAATCTATCTTTTGATTTTTTTTATCATATAGTTTTTGAGAAAAATTATTAAAGTTACTTCAATTTCAATTCAATGAAAGAAAGATTAAATAACTTAAATTATAAATTCTTACAAAAATTATTAAATAGTTTAGTAGACTGATCGTGTTTGTACAAAACAATCATATATAATTTAAATTATACTAGAAATAAAAAATTTACTTTAATTAATAATGTTTCTAGATGTTATACAAAATTATCACTTACTAATGGATATTGTTAATACTATAAATGTGTATTTTTAATGGTATAGTTCTAAAAATGTCCATATCAATATTTTAAAACTATACTTTTTTGGGTGTTAATTCAATATTTGAAGTTAAGCAGAACTACTAGTCAAAATGATATAAGCAAAGTTAATGTATGTGCTATGGATTTATTGTATACATTATTATACAATTGTAGTCATAAAAATAATTTGATATGACAACAATTTTCATAACATATTTAACAGATTTTTCATTAACTTGATTTTGTCAATTGAAAATTTGTCAATCATAAAAATAAAACATATTTTCAATTATTAATATTTTGCATTATTTATGAGTGATATTTATATTTACGTCAAAATTAAAATTTATGTTTATAATAGAAAGATGTTGGAATAATTGTCAAATTAAAAAAAATAAAAGAATCAAAATTATAGTTAAGTATATTACTGTATATATTGTAATATTTTAAAATTATATAATTGCAGAATTAAATATAAAAATTTTAATTTTGCAATAAAAATAATTTATTAACAAATATTTATAAAATTAGTCATTTGAACAAAATTATTTCTTTTTTTTCTTTAATTTTTTAATTTTTCTATTTTCTTTTCTAACTTTCAGTGCTAGTCTTGGATTTGCCATAAGAATATTTTTATATCGTTTTTTTGTTGTTTGTTTAAATTCAGCATCTGCTAAGAGTTCATCAACCATTGTTCGTTTTCTTTCTTTTTTAGTCAATCGGCCAGATTTACAATCAAATGGTGAATCAATAACTGTACCAATCTATAAAAAAGGTATACTCATTTTTAAAATTGATTTAAATAATATTTAAAACTAACAAATTTCTCAAGGTTGTTCTTATCTTAAAATCCAATGATATATAATTCTGTACCTTGAGTCTATAAGGGACCATTTACAATAAAAAAATTTAATTTTTATTCAAATAACTATTGTAGAAAATCTAAGTATGTCTATAATTTCATCAGAGTTACACTTTAAAAAGAACTTTAATTGTATTATAAGTTAATCGCTTATACAAAAAAGGGCCTAAGTCAACATTTTATCAGAAACATGATTATTACAGATATGTTATCACTTTATTAAGACACGTTTAATCATGTTAAAACGGCTTTAGTCCCATTACTAGAACCCAATTGTAAACAAGCATTTTAAATTTTTGTTAAAAGGTCTACAGACATGGACTAGAGCCCATTTAGCATAAAAATATCAAAGATTTTAATTTAATATTATCAAAAATAATATTAGCTTAAAATAATAACTTTTTTTTTGCTTATGTTAGTTACATTTGTATTTTTCTGTGATAAAATATTTTTTATGTTCATCCCTTATGTCTTATACAACTTTATTTTTTAAATATAAACATAGATATTTAACAAGTTAATAAAATAGAAAATGATCTAATGAAAAAATTAACTGGTTGATAAAAACTTTGGACCAGTATTTCAGAAGTTATTAACATTTTTATATCTAGATGGGAGGAGAATCTAATCAAGAAATGTTATATATGTAAACTAATATAAGCCGAAAAAAAAAAGTTATTATTTTAAAAGAGTAGATAGCATTAAAAAAAATTATATTTTTTTATTGTACATTGAACATTTTAGATCCAAGGTATAAAATTAAGTCAATGTATGTATGTAAATTAGACCTATTCAAATTTTTTTTGCATAGAAAAAATCTTTTAACAAATTTATATAAACTTAACAGTAAAAATTCCATGCTGACCTAGTTTTCAAAAAACAAGAGCAGCTAAAAATAAGAGGCAACATTATGAGTAAACAACACTTCTTTCCAAAAGTACAATTTAATGAACTAACAAAATATGAAAAAAGGTCCAAAATAAACTGAAAACTGTTGATTGAAAAATTACATGAATGATCAATTTGTTTTTTTACTTGTTGCAAAAAGAAGGGCAGCCAAATATTGGTGGGTTTAATTAAAACAACAATGTTTTCCTAGGAAAAATAAAAATTTTATTTTCTTACTTGGAAATATTTTGGATAAGCCTCGGTTTCATTTTTTTTGTAAAAGCGTTTAGTATCTAAAGCAGAACGCATTCGAATTACATCTAAATCATGTCGAACGCTATCAGTAATTTTAGTTGCTGGTAGATCAAACCAATCTTTTCCTTTTGTTTTTGCCTCTTCTTTCTACAAACAAAAATTACTTTAATTTAAACTTTTATATTATACATATTTATTATTAGTTAAAAAATGTCTTTTTTTTTAACTCTAGAGTTGTCTACATACTTTTTTCCTAAATTTAAATTTATGTAAAATTTCTATAATTAAAAAAAAAAATTATTTGATTAATTACTACAAACATTACTTTTAAATATTATGGATGGTCAAAAGTTCTTAATTTAATCGGCTATCAAATTATTAATAGCCTTGGTTAATACAGCAGCAACAGTATAGCCCTGTAGGGATATTAAATATACAAGGTGAAACAGATGTAAGTGATCACTCCTACAACTTTTGAAACAATTAATATTTCATTTTTCTAAACATTAAAATAACTAGTTTATAACATATTTCTTTCAAAAATGATTAATGGGCTGAAAAAATTATAGAAAGAGTAATTATTGAGTTACAGGTATTTTAGTACAGAGAGTAGAGTATGTGTTATAAATATACACCAATATAAGCTTTACGCACCCTCATACATATACACTCATTATAAACCACTGATGTTCTAACCATGATTCAGTACAATAACATCTTTAAATGAGCTAAAACTTCAAAAATCTAGCATTCTTAATTTACCAAAAATACATAAGAAATTAATAATTTTATATGCGTTATTACTTAGTTATGGATTTTATAATAATATATTATCATTATTCTAATACTGTATGTCAATAAACTTGTATTTAACACTTTAACCATTATTATTAAATGTATTTATAATGATGAAGAGGTTTCAATAATTAGTTGATATCATGGAAATAATTTGGGTAAAATTGTATCAAATAATGTAAAAAAAAAATAACAAGGTTCATTCACCTAAAATTATTCTCTTTTTATACAATGTAATTATCTTAATGCTAGCTACTCAATTATTTTTAAAATAAATGGAAATACATATGTGACAAATAAAAGTAAAAGAAAATTGACGTAAATTATTTTAAGAAAATTCGAGCGGCTAGCAATAAAAGTATTACCTTGTGCATCTACAAAAATTTTAAGCTTAGTTTAAAATGATGAATTGAATATTGTCATGATAAAGAAATATTTGTATCACCAAAAACTTTTTTTTATTATCTTATCCTAAAGAGATAAACTGTATGTTATCTTAAAACATAAAGTTTAAATTAGGTATTTCAGTTGTAATTATAAATAATTATTTGAAAGTTAATGTCTACCAATATCATAATCCATAAATTTACAAATATATCAATATAAATTAAAATTTAAAACAATAATCACCTTTTTATTTCGCTTTAATATTCTTGAGCTTTTGATATTAACTGGTACTTTATAACCTTTTTGAAAACCAGGTTTTATAACACTCTGACTTAATAACGCATTTGCTGCTTCCATAATTAATTTATGTCTAAACAAAATGAAGAAAAAAATATAGCATATTTTTACATAACAAGAAAAAAAATTATAAAGCATATATAATTATAATTAAAAAAGAACTGCAAATTATTGATGAATTATATTAGATAGCATTCATACATACTCTTACTAATAAAATCTTGATTTTACTTAAGAATAATATAAATATTTAAAAAAATAACAATGTTAACAGCATGACTGCGGAAATTCGATATCAATGCAATTGAAATTTGATTAAGAATTTATATTTTAGCAGGGTGGCCACATACAGTAAAGTGACATCTATCGTGATAATTTATTAGTAATATATGCAAAAGTACATAATTTGTATATTGCCACACGATCTCGTAGTTAATAGTATTAAAAATATATGAATTTATACTTTAGTGTTAGTAATATGGTTTTAAGATATTAATATGTAATAGAGCGCAATTTTTAACACTGACATGCCGGGGTTTAGTATAGTGAATAAGAAATTTGAATTTTTAGACAAAAACATGAAAAACTACTAAAAGTATTTGTTATACATTATTAATAATGGTTAGGCTTGTAGATAATAGGAATAAATAATTTTCTTATGTTATGGTATCTATAATAAAATTTACTTAATAAATGTAAATTATTTTTCTATAAACGAATAAAACAAGAAATTAAAATTTACTGCAGGTTATTTTATTGAAAATAACTATGTGGGTTATACATTAATATGTATAAATATGTTTATAAATTATAAATCGATATGTTTTTATCAAGTAAATAATAATCGCCTAGCGCCTTAATCAAATAAAAAGAAAATATTATGTCAAAGTTGAAGAAATATATAATTTCAATAATAAAAAATGTCTAAAAAAAACAAAAAAGAGAATGGGTTAACGAATGGATCGATTATCGTTCTTTTTTTACACTATTATTAATGGTCATTAATAGTTTATTTACATTACATAAAGACGTAAAAAAGGCTACTATCTTTTAGCTTTAATTTTAGAAAATATACTGCATGACGGGTGACTTATGAGAAGGGTTGTGACTATCCTAAGTGACTTCATCTTTACTTAAACTTAGTTCTTACTACTCTTCTCTTTACCGAACGTAGAATTAATTATTTATCTATTTATAAATATCTGAGATATTCAGGTAAAACGGGATAAAATTGCAACTTTATAAAAAATGAAATTGAAACTTACAGTTTATATTTAATCCCGTTTTTACGTGTTAAAATATATACAAAATAATGTTTTTATGTTTTAAATCAAATTTCATTTAGCACCTCTAAAAATGTTTTTCTAATTGCGCCTATGATAGTTGATTACATCAAAAAAAAAATAATAGGATTTTCCTCAATTTTAAATACTTTCAAATTTATTTTCCTTTTTTAAACAATTTGTCTAAATTATAGTATTAATATTAAAAGATATAAAAGTCAATAACATAAATAAAAAGCTTACAAATTCGAAGTTGGTCCTAATATTAGATATTAGCGATCTTAGGATATTAATCGAAAAAATGTTTTTTCTTCCAATTTTAACATGGATGTTAAAAGTCTATTTCTCTTAGAACTTGAGCACAGTGCCTAATGGATAAATAGTGGGTCGCAAAGTATTTATTTATTTTGAAGTAATTGTTAAAACATAATATTAATATTGTATGATGTAATCTAGAATAATTTCATCAGAAAACAGTTAAAATAACACTAACTTTCTAAAATAAAATATTTTGATATAAGTGTACAATAAAATGCGTCCTCAATAGTGATGGTAGTGACTAGATAAGTTATACTTAGATTATAAATATATCATGTAAATTGTTCAGTACTGGAATTGGTAGTTGGTCTAACGGAAGTAGAAACTAAGACTCTATGTAATATCTTGGCCAGGTTATATTCCAATGATCTTTTAATGTTTTAAGTCGAACTACATGCGATGTAAAATAAAGAAAATGTATTACTATTTATAATATTCATATAGAGCATTGTAATTTTTATTCAATCATTTTTTAGAATATCATATTCTAACTTTTCCGTATGTCGTTAAATTTTTCTTCAAATATCAACTTACGTTGTGTTTTAAGTGATCTTTGTTGCTTAAATATAAAATATTTATATGGTTAACCCAGTTTTTATTTCTTTTTAAGGAGTATTAAGTTAAAATATTAAAGTAAGTAAATTATGTATGAAGGCATTAATAAATATTAAATATACGATAGAATTATTATGAAAATGAAAAAGTATGGGACATAAGTTTCTCAGAAATAAGATTTCAGAGTAAACTCGCATAAAATAGACAATTTCTGCCAACATTTATTGGTGTTGCCAACCTTATTTAAAATTATTTCTACGCTAACCGGCGTCGATGATACGTTGGTCACGCTACCCGGATGCCGCCATGGTGAATTGAGAACCGATCGAGGTCACTGCGCGTGCGCCTTTTGGTTTAACGGTTTTCACCCACGCCAATTATAAAACAACTATCGAGAACGATTATTATTCGATTACTGAATGAAATAACTAAAAAGTTTTATGATAATATATTTTTTTTTTATGAAAAATTAGATAAATTGAGTTTAAATATAAGTGTAATATTTTTTTAAAGATTTATATAATTAAAATTTGGTTAATAATGAGGGGGATGCTTCAGTGATGAAAATCGATAGTTGTTGAGTTATCAATGGTCGATTGTTGTGGTCGGCGTCCGACATTCCCTCCATTGTTACTGCCGCTTCTTCTCATTCGCAAAACGTTAACGCGTCTCTTCTCTTTGTCGTCGTGCTTGTTGATCGTTTATTTATACCGACTTCACCACTAAACACACAACCTCTTTTAACTACTTTTCAATTTCCTTATTAACAAATTCACTAAAAGATATTTACAATGGCTGATGTTGTAGCTGATGTCAAGTAAGTCAAGAATCTAATTCTTATTTATATTTTAATTATAAGTTAAAATCTAGATTTTTATATCAAGCACATGCCGGTTGTATGGGTCGGAATTATGGCCAGAACCACGCGACCGTGGACGCCGATGTCGGCGACCGTCATGCGTTCAAGATGGCGGTTGTACAGGCATATTTAGTTTGTTCTAACGATGATATTAAATTATTACTGCTTATTTTTTTGTCTTAATTCTTTTTAGTAAAGTTATATAGCACAAACAAGTAAATTCCTCCCCCGGCCACCCCCATAATTTCCTTCTATAGTCTATTTAATTTTTTGTATCTTCTGAATACAATTTCTGAATAATTTTTGCTTGTCAACTACACGTTTTATCGTCCGTTTAATTTATCTTCATTTATATTCAATAGTCGCGTGGTATCATAAAAAATTTAAAGTATTATAAGACAATTTTTTTTTTTAGGTATTCTTGCTCACTTAGGTATTGTAAATTAAAATAAAATATATTAATCGGGTCATTAGTTTAATGAGCAATATCAATTAACCAAAAAATAATCATTTTATCTTATCAAATATATGTTAAATGGTAAAGGTCAATTGAAATAATTTTTTTTTATCTAGTAACTGATATCTTAACTTAAAATTGTATAATGGGACAAACTTAGTAAATTAGTTTAAAACTTAAGTGAAATAATTTAATTTGAAAATATTTCTTTATTGAAATTTTTATTAAATTTGCATTAAAAAAATTAGATAATTTATTTTTGTTTGTAAAATAGCAACAATATTCATTATTATTTCTTACTTATTTTACAAAAACTGTTTTTGTTTAACATTTGAATCAATATGTAAACACTTGGTGTTGAGTTATTATGGTAAAACACCTGTGAGACACGATTTATACTATTTTTGTGCTTTTTTCATTTTTTACTAATACATCTTTTTATATTAAAAAATATTATTTAAATTAACTTAAATAATGTTATTATATTAGATAGTCATTAAAATTCTAGATAATTCATTAAAGAAAATATTTTTTTAGAGAAACTGTTGCTACCCCAGAAAAGAAAGTTGCTGACTCTCCATTGAAAGACAAGAAAGTTCAAGAGTCACCCAACAAAAACGTAGAATCTCCAGTAAAAGAAAATGCTACTGAAAATGGTTCAGCCAAAAATGAAGAAGTAAAAGAAAATGGTTCAGCTCCAGAAGAGACAGAACAGAATGGTGACAAAGGTGTTTATTCATATTATAGTTAGGATTATACTAAATAATTTTAACCCTTTATTTTAATTATTTTAGATGATGATGTTGACAGCTGCCAAAAGGGTTGCAAGAGGAAATCTAATGCTTCTGAACTAGTGGTTGAAGCTGAAGAAGCATGTGAAAAGAAAGCAAAATTGGATGATGCTGATGAAGACCCAGCTACAGCTGAGCCTGAGTCTGCTGAAGCGTAAACATTTCTTGATGACATTAAATTATTCTAGACTCTGCCCTCCTTTTGTTATAAATGATCATTACCATTTTAACTCTAAAGTGGATCTCTGACACGTGAATAATATATCTCCATGTTCAATTGACTCAAAATTTTGAACTGACACTGTTTCCTTTCCCTAAAATTTAACAGGTCTGCGGCACTATGTTAATTAATTTAATTAAAACTTAATCTTAAGTTGTATGTTTTTTTACGTCTTAAAATTTAATTTGGTCAATTTTTATTTTATATATGTTTACTATAGGATATGGTAAAATTATTATATAATACAAAAAGTATAGTTTTAGACAAAGGGATGGTTTTTTTAATTTTAAAGGTATTAACTATAAATATTTCTCTTAACTACAATTTAAGTAGTTTTATTAAATAGAAGTACCTGTTGTGGTCACACTAGTAAGATTTTTTTGTATTATATTCTACTTTTTAAATTAAATATTAATATTTAAAAAAAATTATCTATAAGTTCAAATTGGAATTTTTTTAATTAATGGTTGTAATTACATTTTACGTATATTAGGATTATAATTGCAGTGTCTAGTATTATTATTATATATGTATATATATTTGTATATATAATTATATACAAGTATATTAAAATTTTTACCATCGGTTAAATATACAACCCTTAAAATCCTAATCAACTTGTTTTTATTTTACCCTTGTATCTATCTCATTTTTTTTTTTTATAAATCTTGTGTTTTATTTTTTATTTAAAATTTTAATTTTAATAAAAGAAAATCATTGTAAGAAGCAGCTAAAACATTCAATTAGTCTTTTTTTCTAACATTGGAATTTATTTTTATTAAATGGGTGATTTAATGCCACAATCGTTATTTGTGACTTAGTGTTGATGTTGGAATAGAACTAGGTTTTTTTAATATTATTCAATTCTAACGAATAATTTTTTGAAGAAAAATTATTTTTATTTAAAAATAATTGGTTAAGAAACTTAATTTTGTATGTATAAAATAGTGTGTGCTAAAAAATTTGACAGTGTAAAATGTAATTGATAAGTAATTTGTATTGTCATAAATCTTAATTAGTACTGGAAGAACAGACATAGTAAATCTAGTAGTCTTGGTAGGTCTCTAGATTAAAATATGTATAAAATGCAAATTAATTAAAATTATTGTCAAATGTTTCCTTAAAGGATCATATATTATACAGAATCTATGTACAACTATAAATTTTACTTGTTAACATGCATTGATATTAAAATTTTAATATAGTCATTTTTTAGCTATTTTTTTACAAAATGTTATGATGTGTCAAAATAACAACTAGGATAAAATAAAATAATATAAATTATGCTTTAAACATAATTATAAAAGGGCAATACTTTCAACAAAATAATTTTATGAAAAGTTAGGTGTCTCGCAAACTATATAAATTACTATAAAATAATATCAAAATTATATTAATAAATAATTATTTCTATTAATGTTACATATTTAGAAAACTTGTGTCAAGTTGTTAATACTTTTTATTATAACCATAAATAATAATGATCATTTTTATTAACTTATCAATTATAGTTACTGTTAATTAATTTTTATATTATTTTATAATTTAATAATTGTTACATAATAAATTATTGGAATTATTAAATTTTAATATTATCAAATATAGTATAACTATTTACATTTAATACTTAATAGTATTTATACAGTGATTACACAATAATATCTAAGTTTATATATTTCGATTAAGTTATATGTAAATTAGTATTATTTCCATTCAATAAAAATGGGAACTAACTTTTGTAATTAAGATTAAGTTAATAAAATGCCATTATTTTTCTGTTAAATTAACTTCAGATTGGTATCATTAAAATGTATTCGTGTTAATGAGTATAGGAAAATTGGTTAAGGAGGAATAAACCTTATATAAGTACATATAGAGTTTTAAGTAAGGAAACGGATTTCTATTCTCATTATTTGTAACAATTGAGCTGTTTCTTTACTTACTGAACATATATATATTTTTATATAACTGTTCGAAATTATAATTTTTTTTTATATTGAGAAAATCATTGTCTAATATTTTTTATTATTTTTAACATTAATGTTTTTTTTTTCGTATGCCAAAAAGAAATATACAGTTTTTACGATTATTAATCACTTATTTAGTTATTATCGAGGTGGACATAATGCCCATGTACTCAGACCTGTTGGTCCATTGTGCGCATCACTTATTTAACTTCGATTAAATTTATTGTATGTATTTTTAGAGCTGATACGGAAAAGCGTAATGTGTCAGATCCATTTTTATTATATTACTTAAAATTTTATGGAGATTGTCTGTTTCCATTTTTTTATTGGACATTATTCTTATATAAAAATTCAATAAACTTATCACATCAATTCATCTTATATTTAGTATAAGTATGTTAAACAATTTTGGTGGTCTGTCTTGCCAAGTCTACCTCATTTTGTGTCTATGGGTATCGTAAAAAATGCTTTCGATTAGCTCAATTGTATATTTTAGATCTAATAATTCTGTGTATTATGGAAGAGAACATAATTTTATAGAAAAGGATTAAAAAAATATACTTTTCATAATATTAACAGGCTGGTTATATTTGTAGGGAAAAAATATCATTGTTAACTTTTGAATTGTTTAATAACCCGGAATTTCAAAAATGTTTTTGATATAGAATGTTCAGACCTACTTTTTGTAGTATAATGAATAATTTTTTCTTTTCCTTAGATTATTGCTTTTAATATTCTATTAACTTTTTATAAATATTTACTATAATTGTATCTAAGATTTTTTTATGCCATGAAATTTTTATCTTAGTTGAAACATAAATAAAATAATAGTTATGTGAAATAAACAAAGTTTTTATTTTTATGTATCGTATTTTAATATTTTTGAGTGTCATTTTGTTTTTTAGGAGTAAGACATTCTTTGTTTGATAAGAGATGGACATGATTTCAAATCAAATGATTTTGAGCAAAATTGGGTTTGGCTAAAATTGTATTTTCACATTTAAAACAAAAATTGAATTGGTAAGAAAATTTACTCCTCTAAGCAACCCTCCAATTTCAGCCAATGTTAACATTTAATTTGTTTTTTATTTATTTTTTATAAAATGTTTAAATTTAATAATTTAAAATTCTTAATTAAATAGTGAGTCATCAGCCTGGCCAGTGGGTAGGAACGTATGTTTCGGCACACCGATTCGATCAATACGTATAATAATTTTGATTATAAAAATCAAATTTTCAAAGATTTTGCCTAACTTTGTGTATGATGATTGCATGCGTGTTAAATGAAAATTCTCTTTTTCATTAGTCACTCCATTTATAGCATTTGTTAAAACTAGTTTGTATATTACTAAGATATCTAGTTAACACTTAAACATTAGAAATTTAAAATTACTATAAATATTTATAAAACGTGGTAGTAGACTTATCAATAATAAAGTTGAGAAGTATTTAAGTTTTTATTTTAATAATGATATTATCGACAAAAGGCTTTTATAAAATAAATGAATGAGCACCATAATCCAATAATATGGTATTAAGTTTATAAGTAAATAATATTCAAAAGTTTGTGGTCAAATGTAAAAGTAAGAATAAAGTTTTTTGGATAGAGTAATTTCTAATTATCTGTTGACCATTTCAATATGGAATACAGTATTTTACTTCCAGGAATTTTTATATTATTTCTTCCATGATAATAATACAGCTGTGCAATCGGCCATTTTGAGGATTTCGGCCAGGAAAAAAAAGGAAAAAATTGTTTTCCTATCAATTTTTTTTATTGACCATTTTGTTTATGTATATCGGATGTTCGTAATTTTTATTCTTATTTGTTATTATTATTAATATAGTTTGTAGAAGTTTAGTAGAAAATTATGATACTAGCCGATTATATAGGAATATTATCAATGTCGATTTACCGAGTCAACCTCCATCGAATCTGAGGTAAGGTTGTAATGTACCTCTGTGGGCTTGCTTTTATATAAGAAGACTGTTAAAATAATACTATATTTATATATAGAAGACGTTTTAATACAGCACATACAGTCAGCTAAACGGTGTATTAGTTGATGATAATACTTTCAACAAGAAGCCCTGGAAGGTAAAAAAGCAAACACAATGGGTAATGCCGCAACGGCTAATAAGAAAGGTGATTCGGCCGAGAGCGTTAAAGAGTTTCTTGATCAGGCCAAAGAAGATTTTGAGGAAAAATGGAAAAAGAATCCTACAAACACTGCAGCTCTTGAAGATTTTGATCGTATTAAAACTTTAGGTACTGGGTCATTTGGCCGTGTGATGATTGTTCAACACAAGGCTTCCAAAGAGTACTATGCTATGAAGATCCTAGATAAACAAAAAGTTGTTAAACTAAAACAAGTGGAACATACATTGAATGAAAAAAGAATTTTACAAGCAATCAGTTTTCCATTTCTTGTCAGTTTGAAATATCACTTCAAGGACAACTCTAATTTATACATGGTGCTTGAATATGTACCAGGTGGTGAAATGTTTTCTCATTTACGTAAAGTTGGACGTTTCAGTGAGCCACATTCGCGTTTTTACGCGGCTCAAATAGTGCTAGCATTCGAGTACTTACATTACCTTGACCTTATATACAGAGATCTCAAGCCAGAGAATTTACTAATCGACTCTCAGGGCTACTTAAAAGTGACTGATTTTGGTTTTGCCAAACGTGTCAAAGGCCGAACTTGGACGTTGTGTGGTACACCTGAATATTTGGCACCTGAGATCATATTAAGTAAAGGTTATAATAAAGCTGTTGACTGGTGGGCTTTAGGTGTTTTAGTATATGAAATGGCAGCTGGATATCCTCCATTTTTTGCTGATCAACCAATACAAATATATGAAAAGATAGTATCGGGCAAGGTACGTTTCCCATCGCATTTTGGTTCTGACTTAAAAGACTTATTAAGGAACCTTTTGCAAGTTGACTTAACTAAACGTTTTGGTAATCTAAAGAATGGAGTAAATGATATCAAAGGACATAAGTGGTTTGCATCAACTGATTGGATCGCTGTATTTCAAAAGAAAATTGAAGCTCCATTCATACCTAGATGCAAGGGACCAGGAGACACGAGCAATTTTGACGAATATGAAGAAGAAGCATTGAGAATCTCTTCTACAGAAAAATGCGCCAAAGAGTTTGCTGAGTTTTAGGTATGCATATTAATATCTATTTTATTTAGATATATTTATACGTTTTGTTTTTGCAACCTCAGTACACAATTAATATTAACATAGGAGGACCAAACTGTAAATGAGAAATTCTGCTTGTATCAAAATTATGATTTTGTAGTTATTCACTAGGGTGGCTTCGTTTAGCCAGTGGCGTTCGCAGGTATTTTTAAACTAAGTGTCAGAAAATGGTGATAACCTTAAAGTCTATTAACATTCTATGTAATGTTGATTACTATGGTATAACAAATTACCATGTTAATAATGTAACTAATATAGCTTTTTTTAAAGGAGTAAGAGTATTGGGTATGTAAAAAATTATTTTTTTTTTGTTAATTTTAATGTTATATTTTAATTATCATCAAGTACTTTCTAATTTTTCTGTTTAAATAATATATGAAAAATAAAAAATGGCTAGAGTATTGATGTGTAGATATATGTAAATTAATAATAAGACATAAATTATAAATTGCATTATGCAGATAGTTATTATCTACAATATTGTATTATTATGTAGTATTTCTGACATCTGCGTACACCACTGCCTAAGTTTTTTCAAACAATTTTAATTTTTTTTTTTAATAATAAATGAATAAATAATCAACTATTAAAATTTATAGAACAATTTTTTTAGCCAATAATTTAAGTGTATACGTAACATTTTCCTCCTTAATGATGTATTATTTTATATTATTTATCGATGCCAATTGTAATGAACTATAATTTGAACAATGGGTATCTAGTTTTATTGCTTTTATTTTCTGTTTATATATTTTCAAGAGCTTATCTGTTGTATATTACTGTAAGTTGATTTTGTTTTTAATAATTCTTTTGAATTTTTTACAGAATTGTAATTATTTTAGTAAATCCATGTTATTTAACTATATGATTACTTATCATAGTATTCCTTCAATTCTCTATTTTTCTTCAATATTTTGTATTGAATGACTAGATTTAATAGAACTGTAATAATTGTATATTTTTTCTAATTATGAAATAGTGAAATAATATATTAGGACAGTTGATTATAATTAGTCTACTCTAAAATTAGTTTTACCTTTCTAATATTGTAAATGTGATCACTAAGAATATTGAAGTTTCAATTAATCTCAATACAATTTATTTTTACCTACATAATAATAACTAAAACTTATGTTTATTCATTATTATAATTTTTTGAGTGCAATGCTATTATGTATGTATTAAGGGGTAATTGAAAGAGTTAACCCCCAAAATGTTCTTTATACTATACAATATATTCAGTAAAATTAATGTAATAATAATTATTGTTTTAAAACTGTAAAAATAAGGTATTAGCATTTCAATAGATAATTGATATTGCAATAAATTTATCCCTTGTATTAAATTTCTCTTTTCTGACATATTGGCTTGCCAATTATTTGAAACCAAACACTGAAGACTTTGTATTTATTTATTTTATTTTATATAATTTTAATATATATATAGGGTGTTCAGTAAGTAAGTAAATAGGTTTCTATTGTTCTCATTGTTTGTAACAATCTACCTATTTCCTTACTTACTGAACACTCAAAATATAACTTATATAAATATTTCATTTATGTGCGGAGTTCAGGGTATGTTTCCCGAAGTTAGCAACATTATTATTACATCTTGTACTTAACAATTAAATATTTTTAGACATTTAATGGTGTCAACTATTATGAGTTAAATGTAGAAAAAAATTGTTTATTTTATTGCTTTACCTATCTACTTATATCATACAGTGTTGTCATTCATAAAAACTATTTTTTCTTTTTTAAGGAGCACAATCTATGAAATCTTATGTCTTGTTACCATTTTACACTATATTTAAATTTTTAATGTCTTATAATTAATGAAAAGTTGTTAGTCTAAATGAGCATAAAAATCCCTAGTCAGTATTTCAAAAAACTTGTTTTGTTTTTTTAATGATTATTTTATGTTTGGACAATTTATAAGTATTATTTAAAAATATTACTGTTTTATTTATTGTGATGTTTTTGTTTTGTGTTTTAACAAATCATTAGACTATATACATTAAAATTAATATTTCTAATAATTTAGATTGCATTTAATATTAGATATTGTTTGTGTACAATTTTATGTTGGTTTATTTTGTAGTGTTCTTTTAGATTTATCATAATAATAATTCTATAATACTATACTGTATATATATTATATTTTATTAAAATCATTTAAAAATATGTTTTCTTTATTTTTATTTACAATGTAGCAGACATAAAGGACTAATATGGACTAATAAGGTGTACCTTTTAAAATTAAAATCCTTTAAAACAGGAATACTGTATTTGACATTATAAAATAAAAATAACAGTTTAAATTTATTGAGTGTACATTTTTTAAATTTCTAAAAATTAAAACAAACAATAGTAAGCAATAATATTATGTTGAACTATGTTGTTGAATTAATTTCTACGATAGATGAAATACACAAATTAATGGATGGATTACATGTGCTTATTTCAATTATTAGCTTAAAATGCATCTATATAAATTAATGGATACATATATATGTATACATATATAAATTAGAATGTATTTTATTTAGTTGTTAGGAAACATTTTGTATAACAAACTAAGTTTAAGGTGTGAGAATCTTTGGAAGACCATCACTACGACGTCGACGACCAGGTCCACCAGCAAAGTTAGCTGCTGCAATACCCATCAAATGCTTTGCAGCTTGTGTACCTGAATATCCTCTGCTTAAACCCAAGTCAAGACCTCTTTTTGAGCTGAAAAAAGTTTTATTAAATTGAATAAAAAATCATAAAATTTTACATTAATAATTCGCTTTTACATATTTTACATCTTAACCAAAAGAATTTTAAAAGTAAATATATTATATCTGTTACTGTTTAATAAAATTGTTTAAAGGAGAAAAATGAAAATATCTTTTTAACAACCAGTGATTAAGCTTCTTTTAGGTTTAATATATTTGATTTTATAATAGCTGAATTAATTTGTTTAATTTATTAAATAAAAAAATCAAATATATTCAATAATTTAGTAACAAAGTTATTTCTAGATATTTTTTTTAGGTATGTTCATACTTGACAGACATCTATCCGTTTATCGAATTTAATTATATATGGTTTGATTACATTTTTGTATAAGATAAAACGTAGTTTTCACAATCTAAAATAATTATGCCTATTTTCAAAATAGATTGTAATAGTAATCAACTGTCAATCAATTATTTAGAAAATAAAAGTGAGCAAATCATCATTTATATAAATATAAACGAGTATTATTATATTTAATGTGAATAAAAGCTTAATATTTGAACTTAAAAATAATTGAAAATGTATGATAATTTATAAAACATTTTCGATAACATTCTAATTTTTAGAAACTGGAAACCAAAAAATTTATATCCATGTAGAACTCTTGATTTTTTTTTATATATCTAAAACGCATGACCCTTCAAAATGGTTTTGAATGTAAAACATTGTAGACGTTTTCATTTTGTTGTCATTAATAAATATTGACATGCTAGTTTATTAATCAAGTAATCTTTGCTAAATATTTAAATAGAAAATATATCTATAGTTAATTGGTAATTTATTACCTGATTACGTCGAAAAATCATATTTGAAATTAATAAAAATTATTTTATAAAACATTTAAATTCATTTTTCTTTATTAAAAATTAATATTTACTGAGAACTTATTTGCAAACTATATCTGTTTAAATATAGACTGCGTTGACGCAAGATGACGGCCGAATATGTCAAGCTATCAAACTTTAATGTTGATGAAAAAAAAATGTCTTAAAAAGTATTAATTTTTGTTAATATTTTAGCTTCGATGCGAAGCTGAGAAGGTATTAATTTTACTATGATGTGTTTTTTTTTTTTGTCTGTTGCCCATTTTTCTCAGCTCTCACTGGACCGATTTCTTTCAATAAAACGTCAAAAGATCACAAATCGTATCTAGTTGAAGACATTATCCTTAAAAATTGAAAATTTTTCCCTCGTTCCCCGCAAATGGGGGAAATATCCAAAAAAAAATACAAATTTAAAAATCGGTAAATTTTGTCATTTTTTCACTTTTTTTTCTTAAAACTTCCATAACTTGTTCAAAATTAAACAAATCAACATAATTTTTTTTTATGCTAAAACCTTAGATATTTCCCTTTCATTTGATATCNAATTTTTTTTTATACTAAAACCTTAGATATTTCCCTTTCATTTGATATCATTTTTTTGAAAATCTAACACTTAACCTGCTCATTGGGGGGGATTTAAAATAGCAACTTTTTTACAAAAACTAACTTTTTCAACTTAATTTTTGAAAATGTTCCGGAAATACTGCGTCTTTTAAACATATATCAAATTAATGCTTATTTTATGTACTATAAAATGAAAAAAAAATTTGTCCCGACGACCTATCTTCTATGCGCAAATGGCTACCGTATTCAAAAATATGCTATTTTTCTATTAAAATTCTAGGTTTTGTATTTTATTTTATTTTAAAATATCTTATTAGGAGAATATATTGACTTTCATGAATATTATATAATTTAATTGACATAGAATAAAGTTCATAAGACATAAAAAATTAAACTTATTAAATTTTTTTTACTTTTTTAAAGTCGAAAAAGTAATTTTTAAATTTGAGTTAGCTTAAATGGCCAATTTTATAGTTTCGATGCGAATTTTTTAAATGTAAATACTAATTTTTTATAATATTAAAACTTAGAAGTGATAGAAAAAGTCTAATTGCAGATTTGAAAACATCGTGAAAAGTTGATTTAGAATGGTATATTTTTGTTACTGATGAAAGTTCCTTGTAGTTCAGTGCATTTATTTATAGTAACAAACAGTTTTTATTGAAATTTATTGTATCAAGCCCTTTAAATTTTTATACACGTAAAAATAAAGCAAAATACAACTTCTTTATTATTTTTATAATTTCTCCGTTTAAATTACAATATTAAATTATTGAATATCAATTTCATACTAAATTTAATAATTATAATTTGTATTTATTCATATATTATATTTTAAAATCAAAGAACTACTAATTAGGATATGATCAAAGAAATAAGAGTTGATGTTGCTTTTGGAATAATCCACCAATTTCTCTAAATGAAACACTATCTACAGATTTGCATCGAAGCGTTTCTTATGATAGTGATTTTAATCACTGTCAAATATCATCTATATTAGTCCTATCTATGCCTTGTCTACACTGTGCCTTGACCTCACTGTGCTTGGTTTTTTTAATTTGTCATGCTGGTCTAATACACAATTACAATCACTTGTAGTTGTAGTAAAATCTGAGTAATAAAATAAGATTTAGATTTGAAAATCTATGGCATTGCTATTATTATTGACTGTATGTCGCAATATATAAAAATGCATAGTATATTTACTTATTTTCAATTTTTTTAAACTTAAATATAGTTTTTAAAAATTAATTTATTAAAATGCATAGGCAGTGGCATATTTAGAGGGGGGGACAGGGGTACGTGCCCCCATTGACTGAGTTATGTAAATAATTTATCAAGCAATGTAATAATGTATAATATCATTAGAAAAATCAGTTCATTCATTTTCCTCAAAGACACCAATATTTTATAAAAGTTATTATAATACTTTAACATGGTTATAGGTAAGGAAGGGGTTCAATCCTCCGACTACAATTTGTTTTTATCGTTAAATTTTTTTTTACTTTGAACCCACAAGGAACAGAAAAGATCAATATTATAAAAAATATCAGAAGATGAATTTTTTTTAAATAAAAACGTCATGTTTTATTATACATTGCATTAATTTGTATGGTGACAACATTAAAATAATATTCCAAGCATAGTGGCATCATTCTTCAAGTTATTTTATGATATTGTTATTATTCTTACTAGACATCTGTCTTCAAACGGCTTTGGCCGTTCGAATCTTTTGTAAGACAAAACAGCTGTTAAGTCTTAACGTATTTTCTATACAATATTTTTTTGGTTCAAAAACAGGAGGAAAGTATGTAAAAAGACCATATGGTTTATTCAATGGAATCACCGGTCCCTATAAATGTATATACATACTTGCAATAGTTACAAGGTATTACCAAGTATTTGGGAACTATTATTGTCCCCGAATACTATCACAAAAAGATTTATATGTCGATTTTGTTATTATAACAATTATAAAACGAATTTTTAATAATATCATAAATATACATAATAAACTATATAGCTAACTAGCTTAGTTTTCTGTGTTCACTGATTAAATTGAATAGCTCCCATATTTTTTGAGGGCAAACATTTTTTTTTTTTATACTTTTTTACAATTTACTTTGTTATCACAGTAAGAAAATTGTTAATAGCAAAAATGTTTGCAACGAAGTGTAGGAAAAAATTATTGGCTTCAAAAAAGATGTCAATTATTTGGTTTCAGACTTTATCATTTATTAGTTAGCAATCTAGTAAATAACTATTTATGCGAATAATATTAGTTTATGAATTACACATGCTATTTCACTTATCATGATCAACAAAATTATTAAAAAAATAAAAATAATATTGATAATTAATTATATTTAATATTGAATGATTATTCCATTATTATTATTTAACTTATTACTCTTATTAACTTATAACTTATTAAGTCTTGAGTATATACCATGAAAATTAGCCTTACTTTTCCAAATCATTTGCTCTCATTATACTTTGTCCTAATCTGGCTAATAACTCCAACATGACTTCTGGATCACCATCGTTTTCTGATAGGTATGCATTACTCTGCCTGTAAGAAACATGTTAAAATTAATCTTTTAATTTTACATTATCTTCATTTGTTCTACATGCCCTTGATTTTTATTGATAAATAATTTGCATAAATACTAATTTGTATGTTTATGTACACAATATGTGGTCTTATAGCATGTTGTTTTAATTAATGTTTTAGTATGGATTTCTTTTTACTATGAAATTTATTGATACATGGTAAATTGCAATAATTAATTAAAAAATAGCATGATTGTTCAAACAAATTAGTTTGAATCAATTATAGTTAAATTAAAGCAACTCCAAACGTGTCTTTTTTAAATACTTTTTCCTGGCTTAACAACAAAAATATGACTAAAATTATGGTGTTACACTGTTATTTATTTTTACTTTATTTTAATTCGGACCATGTAGATTATCTATAAAATGAGATAATTACTCATTGTTTGTTTAAAACAAAAGATGAATTTTTAAAATTATTTAAAATTGTGGCTTGATAGTATATTATTAGTTTTTATTGTAGGTATTTTTAAATTGAAAATTAAGATACTAAATTTTAAAATTAAAATTCAGTGCAAAAATAAATTATTACCGAAAAATCAAGTATAAAAGTTCTATACTACTATATCTAATAAAAAATAAAATGGTTAGTTTTGCTGCAGTACTTCAGCATGTTGAATTCTTTCTTATTTATTATTTAAAATCATATACTTCAATTCTCATACAATTTTCATTTTTTATCGTAGAGTTTTGATATGTTTATAGGCAAATAAATTTCTTATAAATTATTAACCAAATTGAAATGACTTGTTTAAATTATGTAAAAGTATTATTCTAAACACGTAATACTCGATGAAGGGAAACATTAAAGTCAGAATACAATTTGCTCGCAGATAACTGAATATTTAATTTTTTTTGAGACTAGTGTCAACCCTTTTGTTTAACAAATTTAGACATTTTGAAATAAAACTTAATATACTTTTATTTTATAATTATGTCACTTTGAATTCAAAATGCACTTAATGTAAGTACCTTTTGTATTTATTATGAAAATGGATTTTAATTTGAAAATAATCTCTCTAAATAGAGTTTGTAAAGATTAAAATAATTTGAATAAGCTTGCTAGATTACGAAAAATATAACTGCATTATTTTTCTATGTCTAATAAGTTAGATAAATCAAACATAATTAAAGAAATTTTCAATTATTTTTAAAAAATTGAGTTTGAAACTAGTTAAAAATTAAATCAAATAACAAGGCGTGTAAAAAATTCTCTGAAAAGTTTTCAATTTTTCGTATAGTGTCAACATTGGTAGGACTTTAAAACTTAAAAATAGATTGAACTTTTGAAAATACTTATGACCTTTAAAATAATAAAATGCCTATACCGGATTTTGTTTATAATATCGAGAGTTTTAAATGCGATTGAACTCTAAAAGAAAAACCTCAATTTTGTGTACAAAAATATACATTATTTCTAAGGTATTGTTTTGTTGGCTTCGTTTTAAATTTATAAAATCAACATGTATTATATTGAAGATTAATTTGTTATTCCGATCAATGAACTTTGCAACACTTTTTAGTTGACGTCGTGACACATTTATCCAAAAGAAATTACAAGTTTACTGTCGATTATTTCATGTAAACATTCTTATTTTTTATTTTAATTTTTCGACTAAAGCCAAAATAAAAAAAAAAACTGAAGGTCTTATTAAAAATAATCAAGGTAGTAACTGCATTTACATCATTAATTGAAGTCCACTGAATCAATTATCACATACAAGCGATAATAACAAATCTAATAAACTTCAAGTGCACATATTGTTCACAGTGGAAATATGCATAGTACAGTTAGGAGGTCTTTCGACCTTGGCAGGCGTTTAATAGTGGACGAAGTATATTACTTTCAGTAATAGTATAAACAAGTCGTACATGGAATATTTTAATGAAAAACATTTTACATAGTTATTTCTTAAAACTTATGTAAAGGAAGCTAAGATAAATAAAACACGAGTTCCCTTGTTGAAATTTTGGTTGTCACGAATTGCTATCAAGAGGCCTAAAAAACAGACAAACTTGTGTCATTGCCTCTACTAGATTTATATGCTTGTCTTCTAATTAAAAGCCTTGTTTAAAAATTATTTAATTAATGTTTTTTGTTATTTTTTATTAACAATAAAAGGTTATCAAATGAAAAAAACAATTTTTCTCAGTATAAAAAAAATGGTAGCACTTACTACAATTTTATTCTACGAATACTTACGCATAAAAGTTATATAATTTATACATACTTTTTGTATAAAATGATTTTGACTATTTATTTATATATTTTTCAAGTATACAATTAACCAAAAAATTTTGCCAACGTTATTTTAATAAAAGTAGAATAATAATTAATTTTTTTATTAAGCTTAAATGTAATTTTGTTATTACATTTCCTCCCCAAGGTTCTTTAGTAAATATCTTATATGAATATTTATTAAACATCTATACTTCAAATAAAGAAATTTTAAGTTTTTATCAATGTATTTAAGAGATTTTTTTAAGCCTTTCAAGAGTACCTATGTTGTTTTTAAATTATTTTACCGTGTGGCTTAACGCCAAGTATTTCTTCAGATAATTCGGCGAAGCAATCTGACAACTTAGTTGTTACTAAACTTTGATTTAAAGAAAAAAAGAGCGAAAAAATCTTAATTTTTTCTCGAAAGTAGCTTCAAGTACTCTGAAATGTATTATAAATATATTATTTTTCCACCATAACATTGAATAATAGAAACTGAATGCTAATAAACTAAATACTATTTATGAACACATAAGAAATTCATGTTAAAAATTTAATAATTATGTTTAAAAAGCTGGATGACCTCGGGTCATCAAACAATGTGGTCATTAATAAATTATGTAGATTTTTAAAAGTTTAGATAATGTTTATTAAAACTTAACTTGAATATTATTTAACAGAAGCGCTTTATACTGGAAAAAGAGTTTGTTAATTTTATTATATTCGTATGGTTGTTATTTAGAACATATAACAAGAAAAGTAAAATTTCATGTTTAGTTTAATAAGTTCAAACTGTTATTCTTGTTCGCTTAATTTTGGAACGTTTCATTGTACATTAATTTGGAACCATTCCACTGTCGGTCAGGATATTATTATTTCTTTGAAGCGATATTCTTATATAGCAACGTTTCTATTGAGCAAGTTTTATTTTATAATTAGAATGAGTGAGATTAATAAAACTCATCAGTGTATTAAATTATACAAACGGAGTTCACAACAATGCTTAGTACTTTAATACTACTGTATGTGTTTACCTTCCATAATAATTATGTTATTTAAATCATATAATGAGGAAAATCTTATTAGTAATATTGAAAAATATCTAGTACAATGTTATTGTTTATAATTCATTGAATATCACAACGATTAAAAAAATTCAATACAAAAATAAAACAAAGAAAAGCAATTAACTGCTAAACACAGTTTTGAATAAAAAAAATTTACCATCTATACATAATAGCTGAATAATTGGAGAGTTGTCAAAGAAAATAGAAAGAAAAACGCTATTGAAAACACAACAAAGTGAATTTGTGGAAAAAATTGAAATTGATAAGGTATTTGTTGTGCCAAAAACGTAATTATCAAAAAATAAATAATGGCATGTATTTAGTGCAACTTGGCTGAGCAATTCATGTATTTAAAGAAGTGGAGCATTAATTGTTAGCTGAAACGTAGAAAGAGAAGAACTATTTAGTTAATTAGATAAAATGTGCCGATCGCTGTGTCATTAGTTTAAATTTCTTATGAAGGCAAAATATTTTTAATAAAAAAAAATCATGAAATCCAATATTATGGATTATGAAACTATAATTTTATTATTCAAAGGTCATTAATTAATTATTTAAGGTTTATAGCGAATCATATAAATCATTTCAATTATTGAATGATATCTAAATTATGGACTTATAAATTTTTTTTTTAGTATGATATTTTTAATCATATAATAAATATCCCGTAGTATTAATTACCTTTTTTTATTTAAAGAATGACATGTTTTACTTGATTGTTTTGAAATATGTAATGTTTAAATTAAACTAAAAATAATTCTTTCAAAAATGTATTTATATTTTGTTATAACAAGGTTTTTTTTTGATAATATTTTACTAAACATTAAATTATCGAAGTTATTTAAGGGAAATGATTATGTTGTAGTACTACTAAGTTGTAATTAAACAATTTTGTAAGCTTATTGTATATGTTTATATTCGTAAAGTAATTAATTAGTTAAAGTGTAGTAAAATATGATCTCATTTAAACTGAAAATTTTGAAAATCAATTATTTTCCAATATTATATCTTTGATAATATTCTATATTTTTAGTTTTTTATTCATTTTTTAATACTTACTCTTTTAACTGACTTAATGTTTTAATAAATTATGCAATTTGCTGCGATAATATCACATAGTTGATTTATATTAATTAGAATGAAAATCGAACAAAATCGGTTTGCTTAAAATTTGATTACCGTAAACTCAAACTACGACTTTCGGTTTTGTTTTATCTTTAGAAATATTGTATATTAAATCATTTATACAAATATAGGGATGCATGACGAATGTTTGAGTATGTAATCGCTCTTTGACAACAATGTAGTAGGTGTCATCGTGTTTTCCTGCCGTGCATGGTAGTCATGATACACATTATTCTTATTATTTTTATATTATTAATTTTTTTTAATTTAAACTTTACCCTTCTAACATCGGATAGGGCGCCGATCTTGACGTTTGAATTGTACATACGAGTATCACGATTGCTATCAAACCACATGTTGCTGAAGTTCTGACCATTCTGTGTGTCGTATGCATGCTGAAAAAATTGTAAAAATTATTTTATGTATAAGAACATAAAAATAACAAAAAAAAAAATGATATTTTATATATAATGTTGTTATAAAATATGGGGTAATAATAAGTTAAAAATGTATCGCAAATGTACACTTTGGAATTATTATAGCTAGTAAACTACTGATAATACTACAAAAATGTACACAATAAACTAAATTATTAAGCATTTTTACGACCAGAATATTGAAAAACACCCAGGGAATTACATTTCAGAATTTTTTAGGAAGCGGATATTTAATCGGTTGAGTAAATTATTTAGTGCAATTACTATTATTATTATTTTTTAATGTCAATGAGGGGTACATAATAACGTTTTATTATCAATCTATTTTAATCGATTGCGTACGCATGTGTATCATATTTGCCTATACGTTGTGCCGTACAACTTAGTGTTGATCATGACAACTCATTACGCTCAAGTAGTATTAATGCGAGTACGTTATAATTACACAGGGGAGACAACATATCGGGTTTCCAACTAAAAAACATAGAATCCGGTTGCATAAATAAGCGAAAGGCATTATACAGCGTTATGCGTACACTGAACATTGAAACAACGTCCTTATTCAAGTGAGCGTAGAAGAACTGCAGGTAGAGTTAACATTGCGTTCATGTCTGTGGTCTGTACAAACAAACACAAAATGGTGGTTGAACACATTATTGAAGCTATAGTTAATTGAAGCAAGTTTATAGTAAGTTGTATGGGTCCATGATAAATAATAAATTGTCCTAGCTCGATGAGGTTATATTTATAAGCTCTTACATTGTGTACTTGCTTAAATTAAGTATAATCCCTTCTGAAAATACAGCTTGAAAATTATTGTTATTTGAAAAGTAATCAAACAATAATTTAAAGGATTTGTTTGCCATTTTCGCATCTACCATTTAAATATGAATTCGCGACAGGAAATAATAAAATTTATAATTCCTCATTTAGTATTTTACCTAAATATTAGACGCACATTATCAACTAATTTTTGAGCGAAGATAAATATTTGAATGATATAATAGAATAAGTTAATATTTTTAAAAACGATCAAAGAAAGTACAAATAGAAATAAAAAATTAAAACATAGTAACTTGTTAAAGTTTTTAATTAAATAATGTACATATAGATATGATAATTTTAAATATTTTTGTATAGTAAGAAATCTAAAATAAACGATGTGATTTTTTTTTAATCGAGTAATATCTATAAATATTTTTTAAAATTATTCATATTCAACAGTTCAATTAGTTTAAACCATTCTATTAGAATTATATTAAATCTTATTGCTATTTATATAAGTGTAATTGCGTCGAATGAAAGTTTTATGCAATGATAAATCTTAATTTATGTTATATTAAACTGTACGAAAATTTAAAAAAAAAATGACAGATCATAGATTAAGTACATTTCATAGAAATTACGGTACTGTTATGAAATATTTAGTCAGTACGATTTGGTAAAATGAATTGGCTTAATGACTTGTACTAGAAAAAAAAAACAAATATTTTTAATTATTCTTTTCGGTTTTTTCAGCATTCTCGATTATTATGTAATCAACATTTATAAACGGTTAAATAAATACAACTGTCAATACATAATTACTGAATAATGTCATCTGAGTGATTTCGTTCAGTATATCAAGTTTGAAAGAACTATATTTTTGGTGCTAAGGTGGGAGTTGTTTCTGGTGTAGATTATTCCACATCATTTAATGTGTTACTTTATATGTGTCTGCATTAGGCGTTTATATTAGACATTTTCATTTATGGGCGTAGTAGCATCTGACACAACTTATTAATGTTACACGAGTTTGTTTGTTTTATATTATATTGCAAAATAAACTTTGCGATGTTTATAAGCAGATTAATTTGTAAAATTATTGGAAGTCTAAGTCTAAGTCTAATAATTATGTATGGTGTATAAAGTATTCTATTATACAATCCCATGATCAACATAGTCGTAGACCACTGGCTAATTCTTCCCCTTCCGTTCGTATTCTGTGTTATTTTCTTACATTAAACAATTTAATTTAACCGACACTACATAAATAAACAATTCACGCCTACTACATATAACAGTCTTTCGAAATATTTTAATATAGAGTATATACGATTCGGTGGTTTTTTTAAGCTGTTTTACAAGTTTTTAACAAAGAATTTTGTTTTTATGTGCACTTACTTAATATCTTACTAATAAACTGAGTAAATTTGAAATAACAAGTAACAGATAAATGCTTTTGGTGAAAAAAGTAAAAAGGTTAAGTTGTGTTATAACAGCAGTGTTCCTCGACATTTTTACTATAATGACCACCTCCTTATTGAATTTTTGATTTTTAGGAGTCCCTACTATCATATTTAAATTCTATTTTGGCAAACCTTTATAATAATTGTGGAACCCTCAAAGGGGTTGCGATCTTAAATTGATAAATATTGTTACACCGTTTCTATTATTCGGGATGGTTTTATTGACAAATCATGTTAACACTTTATATGATGTGAGATTAAGGATAGAAAGCACTCATTCGGTTTGAAAATATTAAAAACTTTTAACTATTTAAACATTGCATTTAAGCTCGTTATGTTTAAGTTTAACATACTTAGTCATATAAACTGATTTTGCGATGTTTGTTGTTTTGTAAATAAAAAAAAATGTGGGTTAAAATCTACCCAATGACTTAGAGTTAGCGTTCTGTATTGTTCTAAGTGGACTTCAAGGAACTTCATAATCTCAAAAACTTTATAATTACTATGTGCTTCTTTTGACAGGACCTTTGTAATTTAATGTCAAATCGACGGAGACATTGTGCGTTAGTCTAAAGCTACATATTGTTATTCACGTCTGCAAGCCATACTAGAGAAATAAAATTTTATAACAAATTAACTATGAAAGTATGAATCAAAAGGCTTCCGGAGTTTTATGTTTTAACGGGATTTTCCATGAAAATATAAACGTTTTTTAAATCAAATATATTGTTTTGAAACTAAAACTTGTACAGAAGAAATTAATCACTTAAAAGTTTACAAATCATGTTTTGTGATAATTAATTGTTTTAATTAAAAGTGTTGAGAAAATCTATAAAGTTAAGATAATACATTACTAACAAAGATAAACATAATCATTGTGAAGAGGAGGAATTTCTGTTAATTAATCATCTAGTTTTAATCAAATAATTCTTTATAAAGTATTGGTAGTAATTCATTTTTCACTTAACATTAAAAACAAAATACCACTTAAATTTTATTGTTAAAAAATATATGTCTATTCATCATTAAAAATAGTCAAGTATTCTTTTCATTTACTAAAAGTTCCAAAGGTGTTTTATCACAGACATAATAAAAGTCTGTTTTATATAATGTTTTTCACTTGAAGTGTATGTATTGAAGAAGCCATCGAAATATACTATTTTTATACCAACTAAAAAGTTTTCAAGTGACTTAATCTGTTAACTTGTTTTCATGAAAGACTCAGATCATTATTTGAATGATAATAATGGAGTTTTGGAAATTTTTAATTGATAAATATTGTGAAACTTATATTGATCTTTAATTGACACGACTCTTAATCAAACTAGAATTAATTTTTTTGCAGTTAATGATATCATACTTTTCATATTATTTTATCTAATGTACAGAGTATTTTTCATAAGTGATGCTATTCATAAAGAAAATTTCTTTCCTTTGGCTTCTTTTTCAGCATTACTACAAGATAATAATATAGAATAGACCTCATTTCAGAATCTCATTTCTTAAATAAAAAAACAACAACAACTGCGATTACTTTTATACTGCATCTTTTTTTTATTACTCCAATTTGTAAACAGTTTAAGGGCTTTCGTTGAACCGTTTAACATATTTCAATTTTTCTTTTTTTTATTTTTCTGGGAAGTATTTTAGTACAGACATGTCGATTCATCATAGACCATTAATTGTGCTGTTTATTTAATGATTGTTAAAAAATAAAATAAAAAATATAAATATACGGGGTAATTTATTAAGATTACTACCACCATTTTTTTTTTTTTGTTAAATAATGATTTTTCATAAAAATTTTCTGAATAAAATTTGAATTATACTTGTGAATTAATATCATCTTCTTCTTCCTTGCCTTTATCCCCCCAACTACTTGAAGTCAACCAAGAACCGTGATAAATATAGAATTGATTGTAAAAGAAAATATTTCTTAGGAGTAATTTTTAGGGTCAACTTTCGAAAGTTAAATGGAGATTTATAATTATTTTTATACTGTTAGATAGGAAATGTACTAAATAAAATTTCGATAACCAGGTGTGTAAAATTACCTTATGAGATACTAGCCTTTATAGATTTAGACAATGTGAAGAGACGGGTAGTATTTAGCTATGTTCTGTTTAATCATAATGCACAGATAAGAATACTACTGCATTGCGTACCTCTCTCTTATACCTAAAAATTATAACTTAAAAAGTAATATTACAAGACTGATTGTCGACCAATCGAAATTGTATTTTAGTCTGTTTTTCATCAAATGGTATAAAAATATAAAAGTTACCCATAGAAATAAAATTTTTTTTTTGATTAACAGTTAATTTGTTTAATATGTTTCATGAAAATTAAAAAAACTTTATTCTAAACATTTTTGTGAAAAAATCATCTTTAGAAATCACACTATAATTATATGGCAAATACAATGAAATTCAGTTCATAATGGTTGAAATGAAATCAGCCTACTGACAAGTTTCTGTGAATTTCAATTTTTTTTTTTAGCATAGCTCAAATTATTATAATTTGTTGATATTAATTATTTTTGCTGTGAAATTTTTTATATTTTAATTCATAAATTACGATTTCTAGTTAAAACAAATTAGTTAATTAAAATCGCGAAAAACTTAAAACTTTTTTTCAAGCAAATAGTGTAAACTATACTATGCATTCAATCCTATGTTGACCGTGTATAAACTAATCAACAATTCCAGTCTTGTAATCAATTACTAAATAATCCATCAAATTACGTGTTTGATAGTCTGCATATAGTGCGAATTAAATTGCACGCCACGAAATGTTGGGCTTTGCAGTTTTTATTTTAAACAAACATGATGTGGGACTACAACGGATTGCCAAAATATGAAATTTGATTTTTAAACTTATTCGAGTAATTATCTGCAAAACACATACAATAATGTTACAAAGTCTTTATTACTTTTATAAAAAACAACTAGCTTACGTTGCGAAAAATTGCCGAATAATCAGAAAAATGACGAATGAGACCAATTTAGAACACATTATCTGTCAGCGATAAATTGCATATAGATAAGGCTAACATCTGATTGCAATAAAGATTTCTTAAACAATATCTGTTGTACTGCCGGAAAAATAAAAGGAGGGCATTGTTACCTATACCTTAGGTACTTTTTGAGTAACATGTAAAATTCAAGAGTTTAAAAATAACAAGTTTTTTAAGTGGTTGTAACTAAAAGGAATAGTTTTGAAATTTTTCTTAGTCAAACAATGTTGGTTAACTACAGCCCTCGGAATTCAACTACTATAATATTAATTTATTTTTCAAAGTTTAATTGTGAATAAAACATTATTGAAACCGTACAATTTCAAAATGAGACGAGTTATTTTATTGTTTAATAGTGTATTTAGAATTTATTTAATTAAAAAATAATTGTACATATGTGTGATACTATTAAAAAATTGTTTTTTGTTAACATTTATAAATGTAAAAAATTTAATGTTTAAAACATTTAATGTTTTTCGAAAAGAGCACATTTTAATTTTGTCCACTTGCAAAAGCTTATGCCAAAAGAGCAAGAGTCGTTTTGGTAATCACGTAGCACATGTGGTTACATAACACGAAAAGCAACAAAATTAAATTTGAGTAAGACATCTATGAATAGATTTAAAATCTGAAATTAGTACGAGTATCTTTTCCATATCTTGCTTAATACCAGGAATTTTATCAATTGTCTTTTTCATTTTCTTAGAGACAAAATATGGGTCCTAAAAATTTCTATTTTTCTCGTCTTTCTCAAACTGTGGTGAAAAATGATAAAATTTAATATAAAACAAATTATATTTATACATACATTTTTTTTTTCAAAGAAATCCATACTTACATTAAGCTGAGGATAATATAGACTATTGAGCAAATGTATTTACTGAAACAATATAAATAAATGTAATCAAGCTTTACAACGACTCTAGATTTTCGACACTTGTGTCCATTGTGGATAAAATATTATAGGTTTTTATTAGAAAAAATTTCATTTAGTCCTTGTTTACGTTGATCGTTAAAACACTTAAAACATACTAAAGCTAACCTAATAGACAAAATTAACTACTTTTTCAGTTTGGAAACTTAGATGTACAAAAAGGGCTCTTTATACCGTTTACCAAAATATAGAAAAATGCTCTTTTGATATAAAAAAAAAAACTAAAACATTGCGTTTTTTGACATTAAGTTGAGTGCTCTTTTGACTTATATGTTATGTGCTCTTTTCTCTTAGAAAAAAAGTAATGTGCGCTCTTTTAGCATGCGTCTAAAATTCTAATTCAAAAATCTAACAAATCAATTGTACAAAGAAAAAATTAACAAGTGTTTCTTGGTCTTTGAATAAAGTAGTATTTTTTTATGATTTAAAACCAAAAAAAAAAAACAAAATTTTTTAAATATTGTACTAGCATTATTTTTCTATACGAATCAAATACCGAACTAAGAAAATTTTTAAATAGACATAGAAAAATAGGTCTACTAGTTAATAAATAAGTATAAAATTATAAAAAACATAATAATATAATTTGCGTCATCTTGGTTGTTTATAGTAAAAGATATAAATAAAAAAGTAAGAGAATGTAAGACAGGCAATAAATAAGTGACCAAACGGTTGAGGTGTAAGGTTTGATAAATTTACATAAATATCGAGTTTGTATAGTAAATATCTCGGTTTAAAAATGAACAGTGTGATAAATTTGTTTCTGTTTCTAAGACTTAAATTTTATGTTATAAATTTATTCATAATTCCTCGCGAGTAAAAAAGTATAATTTATGAATGAAAAAAAATTGAAAATTATACATGTTTCAGTAATTTTATCTTTCTTCTTATTTTTTATCGGTAAAACCTTTAGCTTCCGTGTAGCAGTTCGTTAGTTTATTTCAAGATGGCAATGGATAAAAGTGTTAATGTTTTTTAGGTTTACCAGTATCCAATTTTCGTTCTTTATGCGTATCGCTAGTTTTTTCTCTTTAAATGTACAAATTCAACATAATACTGTTGACTCGTCTTTTTCTAATGTTTTATGTAGGGAGTAATTTATTTACTAACTCATAACTTTTTCCGACCCTTTTATTTGTCTCTTTTCATTTCACCAGTTTTTAACATTTATAAATACACCAATTGTATTCAAGCAAGTAGATAAGGATTATTTACATTTGTAGTATTAATGGAATGAATATAATTTTGTTTGCCTAATGCGCAATTGGTTTACGTTTAATGCGTATTATACATTTGCGTTAATCGTAAATAATTTTAGATCAATTGCTCCTTACGGGTACTATGATGCTTAAGTAACTAGCAAATGGTTTAAAAAAGGTAGCTGTTTTATGTGAATAAAGTGTGATGGTCCCCTGACAACAATGTATTGCGTTCTGTAAGATATCTATTTGCCGTTTCCACTTTTTGGTCGTTTTTCATGACAAATCCTAAGGTGCATCTGTGGTATTTATATTGTCACTCCATGAAAATTTTTTATTGAGTTGATTTTTTTAATTCCAAACACGTTTTATGGTATATTTTAATCTTTTGGGATTTTCGATTGTCATTGACTGATAGCACCCGCGGGTCTGAAAATATCTTATAAACTAGTATACACCCTTTGATGATGACTAGAATGGTGAGATAGAGTTTTATGAGATGGAATTGTGTAGACATTCAATAGGAATATACTCACGTACTGCAACGATGGCAGATTTATTTTCATCATTTTTCCTTGGTAAGATTTTAATTTAATGTTTATAGGTGTATTTAACTATATGAGAGGTTATTATTCTAAATTATTTTTGCATTCACAACGTTGATCAGAATTATAATTGTCATCAGAATATATCAGGAATTCCTATTATAAAATATTTTAATTTATAAACGGTCCCATACCTTTTCACCTTAGTTGGTATAACGAGAAAATTTAATTTTCACAGTGTTTATTTTACTACAATACGTTGATAATAGTAATAATGATTTTCTTTGTAACAACAACAAACCGAGGCTTTTTTTTTAATTTTCCTGGGAATGTCTGAAGTTCAATGTAAATTTTTCGTAGTAAACCAACAATTATTTATAATTGTCTTTGTTGTCTCATATGTTCTTGTCGTCTCTAGACAAAAAAGTTATACAAGCTTGTTGATAACAATATTGATTAATAAAAGTCATATTTTACAAATGCAATTTTCTCACAGCATTTACATAGTGCATCACATATAATGTTTACAAATTTGTTGTTTTATTTCATGTCTTCCCAATGTGATAAACGATTCTTGAGATTTAATCTTGAAATTTTGTAGTTAATATAATTCGAATTCATTTAAAAAGCGAAAAATAAAAGATAATACCATTTATTTATATTTATCAAGCTCATCAAGGTTGTAAATAGATTTTTTCATAATAAAGTAGGAGAAAATAGATATATAATGTTACAACCTCGGCCTGTTACTATCTTTCCGAAGATGAACTCTGTAGCGAGTTAAAAACATCAGCACAAAACTGAATATATCTGTAAATATTTTAAATTATACAACACTCCATGAAAGCTTTAACACATTTACATAGTAGGAGAATGAATGAATAATAGTGTTAATGTTTCTACAGACAAATAGTAAATTATTTTCGTTGCCAGTATTATTTATTTTTTAAATAAAAACTTCATGAAAATTTTCGTTGCAAATAACTTTTTAGTTAAAAAATTTTAATTTGTAATTATAGACTAAACAAAAATCAAGCGGTTAATATTATATACAAAAGAAAAGTAAAATTTTTAAGATTCACATGAAGTTGCTTTTTAAGCATAGAAATTAAAATTTATGCAAATCTATTCCTATAATATATAATACAATATAAAAATCGATATGTAGTATATAACAATACATAATAATTTAATACCTACTTATAAAAAATTGTTGATGCCAAAGAAGTTCTGATAGAATTGTGAATAATGATTTAGACAGTATAGCAACTTAACCTGTATGACATTAAAATCTTTATTAATATATGTATCAATCGTATTATGTAAAAATTAGTTTTAGCACATTTTATGTTTGAAAATATGTGGTAAGAATTAAGAATTTAGGGAAATTGTTTAATTTTAGTACTAATAAAACTCTGTTAAAAAGTTTATAGCTTTTTTCGAATTAAAGTGTTTGAAGAAACTTTCAAAGAAATAAAAATTAACCTAAAGGTATATAAAAATAAAACTCTGACTTAAAAACTTTTAAGTGGTTAATTAGGATTTATTATAACATCATTAACTAATGAAAATATTATTTGTCCATTTTATAATTCAAGTTAGACAATGTTGGCAAATTTTGTTTATAAAAATTTGAGGAAGAATTTGAAATTGCAAACTATGATATAATGAGAATGCACCATCCTATGTCTTTAAGTATTAAATTCGTAAGTAGTACATAGTATATGTTAAAGTCTGCTATTAAGTAAATTATTTATTGTATGTGTTTTATTATAAATATATGCGTTAAGTGATGAATTTTGACGCGCTTTGCATATTATAGTGACGTATTTAAATTAATATTTTCAACGATAAAGTGTTCATAAGGGGATAGAATAAAAGGACAAGGTATGTCTTAAATCTTAATAAATTATCGTTAATTTTACATTCGTGACAATGATCGTTCATTAACTTGCGTCTTAAGTATTTTCCGTAAATACAGGTCATTCAAAAGTTTTATTTTCCTATAAATTTATTGAAAACGATTTTTTGAAGTAGTAATTAAATGAAAATATTATTTTTTTTTATATGTCAATAATTAATATATATATAAATAAATAAGTGTATCAGTTTTAAATTAAAACACCTGTATCCCAAATTCCAAATCCTATGTACTGTTAACATATAAATGCATACATAGCACTAATAAAATAATTAAAAAAAAAAAATTGTTGTTTGAAAACTTTAAACAGAAAGTATATTTTCAGAGTATGATATGTCAGGCTAATGTATTGAATTACTTCTATACTCGGTGTCAGTAGCACTTAACAATGTATAATTTTTTTTATTATATTACAAAATGTATGTCAAGCTTTTAGTTATAAAATGGTAGACTTAACAAACACTGAGATGAGTGCATTTTACTGTTGAAAGTTATCAATTGGAAATAAAATAATATTATCACATGTCAAGTAAGGTGTATTGTTAAATCCCCATCTTGGATGTTTTCATGTTTTATTCAAATGGTAACACTTTTTTCAATTGCTAAGTAAAAGTTTTCAAATAATTTTAATGTATTCTACGGAATACACAAAATTGGATTCGACCTTAAGTAAAACACATTTTAGAAAGAATAGTAACAAATTAATAGAAAAAGAGAAGTGTACAAAATCGTTCAGATAGAATTGATAATATGTATTAAAATTCTCCTGGTTTTTGTGAAACACAACTGAATTGTACCAAAAATCATTTAGATGCCTTAGTGGGGTAATTAAATAATTTAACAGCTTCATATGCTATTGATTTAGTGTTTAGTATTCAAATACAAAATAGGTTTTATTAAACAGTTAAACAATTTTTACAGTTTCATTTTCATATTTTTATCATAAATATTTTATATTTTGGCGTAAATTTATCAAATCATAAATGATGTACTAAAAAACAATTTTTCTGTAGTTTCAAATTATATGGATGAAAAAAGATCGTGTATTAATAAATAATAGAGTGAATATCTAACAGGAGTCGGCAGGGTCGGTCTAGTCTAGTGGGTATAAACGTTTGTTTCGCCTCATGAGGTCCCGGGTTCGATCCTTAGAGTGTGAACGGATATTTTTCTTGTGATTTTCTCATTAGAAATGTCTGATCTCTAAGCTAGGCCATAATGGCCGTGTTCCGTCTATCTATCTTTGACTCCTAACATGTGAATAGGAAGGGGTACTACTGTACCACCTTCTGTAGTATGTTATGTTTGGGAAATAGAAGGTAACACAAAGTATTTAGTAATCAAAAGTTATTAGATTTGTCAATAAATCTGAAATTACCTTGTATACTACTTGCGATAAAAATTGATTTCGTATTATCTATAATAATTACTTTTGTAAATTTATCAAAACTGAAGAATTAAATATTTAAAGAGGTGTTAAAAAGTTACTTCAACAAATTGAAATGTAATTAATTTATTATATATAATAAAATAATGTGTTTTTCAGATTTAATTGATATATACATTAAAGTTTTTGTATCTATTAAATTTTTGAATAAAAATTCACTATTGAACTTTATGGAAAAAAAGTAAAATTTTTTAAATTCTTGGACTTGAAAAAAAAGTTATCAGATAAAATAATTGTTTAAAAACAGAAAAGTTTTAAATGAAACAATTAGATAGTTTTTATTTAACAAGTTTAATAAAATTTTATAGTAGTATTAATTTACCATCAAACAAACAAAGTAAAGTATATTATTTCTTCTGAGCATAATTCTGTACCATAAAAAAATTCAATACTTTTTTTATGCCATTGACATTTGAGAATATTTGGAGACATTAGAAACTAATATCTTAGTCATTCTGACGACATGAATCGATATTGTCATCGCACATGTTTATTTTTTAATAACTACAATGGACAAACGAAAAAAATGTACAGATCTGAAATTTTTATTCCGAAAACAATGCTAGTAGTGATAATAGATCTTTCTCGGGAACTATATGTAAGCAACTTCTATTGTAATCATTATACATTGTAATACCGACTGGCGACATACTGGCTAACCCGAAAACCCGATTTCTTCTGATGTGATGATTCATTGTATTTAGAAGCGTTATAAATTAATAACTAATTAAACTTTATTTCAACTTTAAATTATATTAAACCTTTACTGTATCGTTTATAAAACATTGTGCACTATTATTTAATTAGTTTTCTTGTTATGTAATTCAAAATGTATTGATAATGTTATAATTACTTTCTCATATGTTTGGTTAAAAATCACCAAGTCAAAGTTTTAATAAATTATATATGTATGTACATTACAGAGTTCTTGTACTCCGTATATGTATACTAAAAACGTAGTTAACAAAAGATACTGGTTGATGGCAAACCTTAACTATTGGCCCCGGGTGTCTTTTATTTATTTAGAAAGGAAAGATTTTCATTTTGTTACGGTCGGATAGCAAAGCGACAGGTTGTTGTAAAGTAACATAATAAAGTGGTACTGGTTTGCGCTGTTACATAGTCCTCAAGGGAAAAGACTACTGGAAATAGACATACGTGTGAACAGTTTTACTGATATTAGCTTTTATCAAGCAATTCGTTCGTTGGTCATTGTTTAATATCATAGAAAACTTATATTTTATCCAAGAGAACGTCTTGTCAGTCACGAAAAAATCGATTTTATTGCTCAGAATTAAAGTTAGAAGAAATACTCAATGAGAAATGCAGGATTCTAAAAATTGTTGATTCATATTAATATAAACTTAAGAATTTGATAAAAATATTTAATAAAAGTCTGTAATTATAATTTTTTGTTTCTTGAAAAATTGTATAAGTATTGCGTTTTATATAAATGGCGAAAAAAATACAATGTGTGTAAGAGAATACACTGCTCATTCAAACAACAAATGTTTTTTGAATGTTCATATTATTTTCTTGTAGAGAATTGTTCAAAAGTCTTTTCCACGGATTTATAATGCACTGATGTTGACTCAACTAATTTCATTAAAAATCATTGCTCATTTGCATAAAACCGCACGAATAAACCTTTCAGTTATGTCATTTCGCTAGAATAGCAATAGACTCATTAAAATCCTTAAAACGACGTAAGTGCCATCGTGAAAAATTAAAGTGATATATTAAAGAGGCTATTTAATTTTCACTGTTAGCAAGACGGTCTGCGTATTATTTCTAAGTGAAAAGTTTTTTTTTTGTAATATTGGTATTTATTATTGATGACAAACTCTAAAATATTGTTTAGTCATCACCCTAACTTTTTATACTGATTAAGGGTTCATAATGTTAAACAAAAACTATGTAAAATATCTTAATAATACACTTTTACTTTGAACAATAAAATGTGTACTTGTTTTGTTCTGAGATATTTAAAAGTGTAACAAGTCAATGTTGACATATTTTATGATAACTAAGAATTAAAGAGTAAAATAAAAAGTGGTAATTAAGAGAAAAACTTAGCTCCATATGTTATTATTACACGAAAACTATTCAGATAAATTACAGCATTTAAAATGTTAAAAATTATTTGCATTCAATTGCACATATCAAAAATATAATTTGAAATTAATATTGCGTGTAGTTCGTAATAACGTTGTACTCTGTGTAAAATGTTAAATAATAACTAATGTCCCTCTTGCCACAAAATGCTTTTTGTACTATTTAATTTTTTTTTTTTTGTAATACATCAATATAATGAATTAATTTAAAGTATTTTTCATGAATTTTTATTTAAGAGTTTTTTGATTAAATTTTATTATGTTATACGATAAAAAAAGGTTAAATTTAATGAACATGCTTATTTATTTTTTAATAAATGGAATAAGTTATGAATATAAGTAGATTGATAATGTTACCAAAATTTGTCAGAAGTATGTTAAGAAAAATTATACATGAAAACAGGGACATAAATCATGATAAAAGTTTTTATGGCTGTACATTTCATATTATTTAAAATAAAATATCTAACTTTCAGAAATCATCAAAACGTACGTAAAACAAATTGTAAGTCACTCATGTAATGAACTTAAGAATGTCAAGTTTTTATTTTTAAGTTTTAAGTTTTTTATTTGCAGGAGTCAAAAGCAACAGTTGTGAGTCAGAATCAATAGCTTATCAAAGTTTGTCTAAACTAACCAGCGTTAACTCTAATAAAGTTAATTTTATTCATATTCTCAAACTATGTTTATCTGTTTAAACTTACTTACAGTTCATTATAATAACTAGTTTATGTTTTGGCCGCGATGTAGGACAAGAGTTAACAGTTGAATAAAAGCAGAATGAAGCAATAAT